GTTTATTCTGTCTTAATTTGTTGTTACAGTTGAGATTTTCACCGATGATGTATATCTATCGTCGACTATATATCGACATCGGTCACGGTTTAACTGTCACAGTACATAAGATACTTACAGCCTGGTGAGAGCGAAAAAAAAACACTATTTTTGTATGGGAGATCCCTTAAATATTTACTTTATTCAAATTTTTAGTATTTGTTTTTATAGCGGCAACAGAAACACATTATCTGTTAAGATTTCAAATGTCGAACTATCACGGTTCACTAGATAAAGTCCTGGTGACAGCAAAAAACACCTTTGGTGTATGGGAGCCCCTTAAATAATTATTTGATTCTGGTGATTCTTTTTTTTCTAAATAATTAGTTTTGAAGTTATTTAAGAAAATAAAAGATATACCTATACTCAGTATTTTTAAAATTATATAATTTATGTGTGTAAGTAACTGCGAAATAAGGGCCTATTGAAACACGTGTTTTAAAAGTCACAGGTTAAAAACGAGTTCTTAATTTGGCATTTAATTTCATTCTAAATGGCGAAGTAAATTGTAAACTTTAAGGACGCCCGGTTGGTTGATCAACTCCAATCAGAGGTTTGTGCAAGTTCTTATAAATATAAAGTACTTCTCGTGTAAGTACTTTACTTCTCATAGTTATTTATTTTTATTGCATTCCACAAAGTAGCATTAAGATATTAAAAAAAACAAAAGTATAATCATGGACCCCGTCGGGCACAGCAAATTTGTAGAGAGGAGAGGACACTGTGCTTTAAAATATGGGTAATAACATTCTTTTATAAATTAAATAATAATTGTTTTGAAAACTTAGCTATTTAATAATGAAATATTAAAATTAATATATTAAAATTAAGATACAAAACTTGATTATATTTTTCATTTATTAAAGTTTTTTATTGAGTTCGGCAAATTATTGAACAAGAAGTGGTTTATCTGTTATACTAGCTTTTCGCCTGTGACTTCGCCTGCGTGATACTGTATTATGTTATACTTACTTAAAAAATTACCTCTTGAATCATTAACATTAATGAAAATTGCATTAAATTCTGTTATAAGTATAAAAAATTTCAGCGTGTATACTTTGATTAAATAAATATATTATATTAAAAAATATTCCACTTTTTGTTCCTCCCATACCAAACACCAATTTCATATGTAAGGACCTAATATTAAATGGAGAAATGAATGTATAATAAATAAAGTTTAATAAAAAATATAAGCCAAGTTATATCAGAATATGCGTCTTTTCATGACTTTTCCCGCGTTAATTAGCTTCCTGTAGGTGAAAGAATTTCAATGATCGAATCAGTATTTCCGAAGATTATCCCTACAAAAGAACAAAGTTAAAAACTTTATGTACTTAGTCGTATTAATAAAATTAGTAGAGATTAATATATTTTTGAAAATATTTCTTTCGGCTGTTTGGATGGCTTGTTAAACATTGATGAAAACAGTCCCGGAACTACAACTTTAACCGGGGCAAAAAACTTGAACGTATATATTTTTTTTATTCTCATATTTTTGCAAATGTATATTTTAGTTTAGGGCTTTGGAAAATATATCCCACCGTTGCCTATGTCTATGAATTTATTTTAAAAGACATTTTGTGAAACCAGATTTTTTGCTGTATTAAATTATCATATAATTTTGGCGCCCTTGCCACTGGTGCCCGGGTATCATTTGAAGCGTCTTAGTAATCCGCATACTATAGGTTATGTGAGGTTTCATTAAATTGTCAACAGCGCCATCTAGAGAGTATAAAGTATAAGAAATTAAATTTTTTTATTACTTATTCAATCATTCCGTGTAGGGGATCAAATGAAAGGGCTTAATTAGCAAATCTCAAATATCACAACAAAACAAAATGTTGTGGCATACGACTACGCTGTCCTTTGGTCATCACTATTATAATATACTTAGCTATCGCTATAAAAAAAAATCTTGTTTCATATTTTTTATAGCCTGATTTATCTGTCGGGTTTTAGTTTTAGAATATATTTTTTCTTCTCTATCTCTGATGTTAGCGGCTCTATTTTAAAAAGATAAAAAAGTGAATATGATTTATATTATTGTTTTTTTTTTGCAGGTATATTAAGTACTACAGTAGAACTCCAATTATCCGAACTCCGACTATCCGAATCGCCGATTATCCGAATCACAAAAAATTGTCCAAAAAAAGTCTAAGTGCGCTATTATTCTCCCCCCCGCGAAGCCAGTGTTTGCGCGTCAAGTCTTGACTTGACTTGTCTTAACTTGCCGTTGTGCCTACACAACCTAGCTTGGTTATTCATCTTTTAAGGCTAGTAACGGCTGGCTAAGGAATTTTAAATTCAGGCATGGTGTACGCGAGTTAGATTTGGCTGGTGAGAAACTTTCAGCAGACTCTGCAGCTGCTGAAAATTTTATTGAAAAATTTAAAACTGCATCAGAATCCTATGATCCGGAGTTTGTTTATAATGCCGATGAAACTGGCCTTGTTTGGAAAACATTACCAAAAACCACTTTGGCTTCTAAAAGGGAATCTAGTGCCCCTGGACATAAGGTCAGTAAAGAACGTGTTACAGTGCTTAACTGTGCCAACTCCACTGGAAATCATAAACTGCCACTTCTTTTGATAGGAAAATCAAGAAATCCAAGAGCATTTAAAAACGTAAAAAAACTTCCACTCTTCTACAAAAGTCAACCCAAGGCCTGGATGACTGCAGCTTTGTTTACCGAATGGTATGATGAAGTGTTTATTCCTGAAGTGAAAAAGCACCAAAAATCGGTGGGAAAAGAAGGCAGTAAGGTGCTTTTAATTGTTGATAACGCACCCACTTATCCTACAGCAGAACTGTTGGAAAGAGAGAATGGGCAGTTCAAAACGACGTTTTTGCCTCCCAATGTTACAAGTTTGCTGCAACCCATGGACCAGTCTGTTATTGAAACAATGAAGCGCCATTACAGAAGGCAACTGCTGAGAAAACTGCTGAACGAAGGTGCTGAAGATGAAGAATTGGTTTTGGCAAATCATAGCAAAATAAATTTAAAGGACTGCTGTTACATGGTAGCGGAAGCTTGGAGTTTGGTTACGGCAGTGACGCTAAGACGTGCGTAGAATAAACTGAAAGGCCTACCGTCTGAGAAGAACAAAAAAAAAAGAATCTGAAGAAAATGAGAAACAAGAATATGGAGAGGATGATGATGATAAAGATGCGTTGTCACTAGAGGAAATAAGAAAAATGATTGTAAAAATTCCTGGTTGTACAGAAGTAAGTGCTGAAGATGTAGGAGAGTGGATGGCTTGTGACACGTCTGACCCTGGTTTTCAAATTCTCAATGACGATGAAATTGTTGTAAGTGTGAGAGAAGATGTTGAAGTGGAAGTTGAAGAAGAACTTTCTGCTGATGTTGAAGTAGACGCTGGACCATCAGCTAGTGAAGCATTTGCCGGCCTCGAGACTGCTTTGAAGTGGATGGAGCGTCAGCCCGAGTGTGACCACTTGCAACTGCTCACCGTCAAGCGAATGCGTGACCTGGCTGCCCGAAAACGGTTGAAGACCGCAAAACAGCTTACATTGACGGAGATGTTTAAAAAACAATGATTTTTATTTCTAAACTTGTACATAAGTACATTTTATTTATATTTAAAACATGTGAAAATTTCATGTTTCTTTCATTTAATTCAATAAAAAAATAGTGCAATATCAAAACGTAGCTTTTATTCTCTCCAATGGCAATTTTTTTTTAAAAAATCCGATTATCCGAATATTTGATTATCCGAATGGGTCCCGGTCCCCATTAATTCGGATAATTGGAGTTCTACTGTAGCTATTTTTCTGCGATTTTTATTATACCCGCGTATGATATAGCTTTTTTCATCTTCATCACAATCTGCATAAATTAGTATAAGTATAGATAAATATACCAATTGTAGATAACGATTTTAAACTTTAAGTAGGGTACTCGTCATCATGATATAAACAAACCTCTAGTCCCTTTTATTAAATATGTAAGTTATCTTACTATATTACTTTTTTAATATGTATTAATATTAAAAAAGACGATAGAATTTATTTCGTTTTAGCGACAGTGAAGTGAAAGTAGTTAGGTATGAGATAGGTATATGGCGATTAAAATTATTTATCGTTTCATTTGCTATGTTAATGCTTTACTTACATAACAACACAGTTTGAAAATTGTTATAAGTGAAAACTATATGGATATATTTTTAATGTAAAGCATAAATCCATCATTTTAATATAAAACAGTTAACAGTTTTTTTTATAAAGTACTTTAAAATCATGTTTACGATATAAACAAAGTGTAAACGTTTTAGACGACGTTAAAGTTTTGGTTATTGTTATTTATTACCTAGTAACAAAGTAATATTTGTAAACGCTTTTACTTCGTGGGTTTTAATCACCTTACTTTTTATCTATTAAAAATATTATATGTTTAAAATGGAAAGTAATAATCTATTACAAAAGCACTACAATATTTATGATTTATTACCTAGGACCTAACAGGGCTGACGAATTTTTACTTTTTCGCTACTAAAAAGTGTTATTTCATCAATGTGCAGGCAATCCACCTAAACAGCCGAAAGAAATAATTATACTTTCGATAGAGAAGAAAATTTGTTCTAATTATTATATTTCATAAATTTTGCATTCACAATGCTATACTGAAAAATATTCTTAATTAAAAATACCTTTCACAATCCGTGCGACTACTCTAACCACAGAGCTACCCAGGACCTAACAGGACTTACGAGTTTATTAATATTTTTTCAAAGATGCTACTCCAATAGATATTGCAAAACTGTTATGAAAATTACGCTAATTATTATTAAATAAGTAAGAGAGTATATCTCTAATATAAATAAAACAGGAAAAAGGAAGCTAAATAAATTTTTGATAAGCGAATAAAAAAGAAGTTGAAAAAATGAACAGATAATATCTGTTGATACCTAAATTAAATAATAGTTTTTTATTTAACTTACAAAATGTTTTTGTATCTTCCAGCAAATTCAGTCACTTTATTATGATTGCTAAAATAATTTAACAATATGAGTCTTTTTCACATTAAACTATGTAAAAACTAAAGCAACACTGAAGTTGCCGTTTTTAATGTTTCAAAATGCGCGCGTATTCTTCTGCCGATCGAGACACACTGGCATGACCCGAGCGAGGCGGCGTCAGCGGCGCAAAGTAAAAAATATGGTTACACACGCACTACCAAAGCCGTTCAGACTACATTCACATGTTTCCAAATCAAAATTATCATTTTCGATTTAATATAAAAGTTGCTCAACTTAAGACCGATATGTTCCACTTTGTAAGGATAATCTGATATGAGACGGGATATAATATGCTGGTGCCAGATGGTTGGAATTCATCTGGATTGTCCAATGAAAGTCCCCAAAAAAATGGCCGATAAACAATACTGTCGAACAAATTATAAATTGATTTATCGATGTGATGTGATCGAATTTAAAATCTATAATATATAAGAAATCAGATTTTCGGAGGAAAGATGTTTCTGATTTCTTATATTTGATCAATGTTGCATTGAAATGAAATGAAATGAAAATATCTTTATTCAAGTAAGCTTATTACAGGCACTTTTGAATCGTCCAAAAAAATTTTACCACTTGTTTAGGACGTCTCTCATTATAAATGATATTTACCTATCATATACCTTTATTCGTTCAAAATGATATTTACCTATCATAAACAAATAGGTAGGTACTTAAAAAATTATTGGATTCTGACAACTCGATTTTGACAACATTTAAAAATTTCAGTTTTGTAATTATTTTTAATTTTATTAAGTAGATATTTTTTGGCGTTTTTTTGTCCCGAGTATAATCTTATAATTCCATCTCTTACCTAGATAGGTTTTTTAACCCTTCATTTAGTTAACGTGGGCGTAATGCACCTTATTCCTTAAATCAAAGCTTTCCAATCACTGGGACCTGCCCTGAGGTGTGAGGTCAGTGTGACTGACCTACTTGATAAAATCCACTACGAAGTAATTGACCCTTTCGTAGGTTATTTCACCAAAACCCCATAAACACAAAATTTTATTGACTTTTACTTTTACTTTTACTTTATTTTTATATATTTGTTCGATTTTAGTAGACGTGTTTTATATTTATTGATTTTTTTGTTCTCATTTCACAAGACTATTTTATTATGTCGTTCGTTTTAAAAAGAAATTGACTATTTAATTAGATAAGTTGTTTATGAAACAAAACGTATTAGTGATCGATTAAACCATACCCTTTAGTAAATACCTTACTTTTAACTTGAGCTTTTCCTAATACTCCCTGAAATAGAGCACAACAAATGAATCGTGCATAGAAAAAGAAAAGAAAAAATACCTTTATGCCGTTTCACGGAAGCTCACTTGGCATAACTATCTCTTATTGCTTATATAGATCTATAATATATGTATATATCTACTAACCGTATTCGGTAATGGTGATTGGCATACAATTTTAAGAGCATCGTTCTCGTGTGACCGGCCCATTGCAACTATCTTCGCATTATATATGCCCGTACGCGGTCTGACCCAGTGCATATTCCGAACCTATCCAATGCATTGTTTAGGTTCGGTATAGACATGTTTACGGTATAGAGACCACGTTTCAGAGGTATATAGAAGAATAGGTATTACAATTGCCTTTTGTAGAGAGCTTGAATTTATGAATATGTGCGAAATATTGAATTTTCATGAAACGAACTCTAGTGCAGCGAGGAATCTACCAGTTAAAGCTGCTTTTTAACATTTTTGTGGATTCGAAGTGAATAAAAAAAATCAATCTAACGAAAAATGTTTGAATAAATCCACCAGCGCAGCTCCATGTATTATACCCCGATATGGGACTCAAACCCACATGACCTTTCGTTGCTAGTGAATGAGCGTATTTTCATCAAACAGTTTTGTTTTTCCCCTTAGACAAAACTAAACACTTAAATAGGTAATTAGTTATAAACTCCTGTTTTTAACCAGAAGGTTTTCAGCCAGAAGATTATATTTACACTATTTACGAGGAGCCATTTTATTAGTTATTTAGAATAACTGGTGTACTTATTTATAAATTTACTATTCAAAACTACATTAACCTCATATTGGCATTGTAGAATAATATTAATACGCCCGTAACTGAGTAACTCGCACGCCGGTTTTAAAGTGTCATCGTCTTTGATATCCTGGTTCGATCGAGGTCGGTACAATGGAGATAATAAATGAAATATAGTTTTTGGGCATTGTAGTATCTTCGTTGTTTCTAATTCTCCCTAATACGAGAAAATAAGCAACTCGTCTTGGAATCAAAGCAATATATGCGAGTGAGGTAACTCGACTGTGAATGGGTCGGTGACATAAAAAGGGTTCAGTGGGGTTCAGTGAATTTAGCACAGCGCGAACGGGTCACCTTTTTCCTAAGGATTTTTAATAGTTTCCGCATTTTTTATCAGTTAAAACAACTCTAAAACAACATTAAATGTCGTTCTACAACGTTTTAGTGAAAACACAAGATTTGCAAAGCATCGATACTACAACCATACGATTATCAAATTAGAACTATATCGAGTTTTTAGCATATAAAGTGATATTTACCAAGTATGTTAAATCATCATCCAAAATATCGAATTATATACTGTACAATAAATATCGATTATCAATATATCGGGAATTTCCACTTTTAAATTATCGCGCTGTATATCACTGTATATCCAATTTGCCCAAATTGACACGTTTTTACAACAAGTGTTTGCTCCCAAAAATAGTCGACTCTCAAAAAGCTAGATCGACGACTAACAATTTTTTTTTTCTAGAATCTAGCAAAGTATCAATACTAGAACCATACGATGATCAAATTAGAACTATATGGAGTTTGCCAAGGCATACGTAGTGATATTTACCAACTATATTAAATCATCATATAAAAAATCGCATTGTATAATTTACAATTATTAAAACACAACTTTGACTGATTTATCATATATTTTATAAAATTGTTTCCTTTTATATAAACTTTTTCACAACAACTTTTGTACTCTATTCCCGCCCAAAATTATCTGATCATTCGTCAATGTCAACTTCAAAGGTGACAGTGACAACCCACTGACAGATAGTGCTTCCACTAATACAACCGATAAAGATTGATGTCCTTAGTATTCGATAAAGAGTATTGTAGTCTAACACAATAAATATCGATTTTTTATAAATCGATTATTTTTTCCCAAGCCTACTCCGCAGGCTCATAAATTTTCCGGATTGCGGACACAGTAGTACACAAGCGTAAACACGTTTTTCATTGCCGCCATCACGGACTTGAAAAAACCGGTCCGGAATAGAGAAAAATAAAATTCCGGACGGTTAAATTACTGTCAGTGCACAAGCGCGCATTACCTACAAATGGCCTGACATATCGGACCTGAAAAAATTCGGACCGCCGGTCATGAAAATTCAGTGAAGTGCACAAGCGCCCTTAGTTCAGTTAATTTAAGTCTCTTTGATTTTATTTTGTACATTTTAATATTTTAATTTGTCTTTTTGATGTATAGAATATTGGAATATTTTACTTATTAGCTTATTTTAATTGCTGCAAAAAGTTATTATATTATAGACTTTTTATCTTATTACAAATACAAAGAAACAAAATTATGCTAATGACTAGGCAGCAGGGTCTATGACCTTAGCCTGTTCCGAAGTGATCGATAAAAAAGTACAAAATTCTGTTAATGACACTGACAGTTTGCCAAATATATTGACAATGACATTTAACAATGTAATTTTTTTTAGAGTCGTGTGTTAAAGCCGATAGAAAATATTTGTTAATAAAATGTTTAGCGTACGATTACAACAGTTAATTTATATTTGCGACAAAATCGTAATTCGAAACTTAAGAAATAGTAGGATACATTATCCTAATGCCGATCCTGGCTTGGGTAGAAGACTAAAAGCATTTCAAGACAGTAGCTATAAAATTGAAGATGAAGACGCCGAAGAATTCATTGAAGCATCTGAAAGCGACTTTAGTAATGTACGTTGAATATAACATTCTTTATCACATCATACCTAATCGTTATAGTTGTGTGCAGAAAATGCAAAAAGTGGTCATTCTTACACCTGCTGTGTAAGGTTATTTTGTTTATTATTTAAATTCAATACTCGAAACTTACATAAATGAGATATCGAAATAAGCGAGCTATGTATGTGTTGTCTAATATTTATTTGCTTTTTTATTATAGGTTGGAGAAGCATACAATGAGCACATGAATGAAACACTAATGGGAAAATATGAGTTAGGTTATGACATAGTTAAACAGAAATATTTTAAGGAAAATATGCCCAACTTACTCACTTGGAGTGAGAAGGAACAAATCCGTCATTTAGTTGCTTCAGCTCCTGATGAATGGACACCTGAAAAGATTGCTGAAAGTTTTCCTGTTACAGTCCCTGTAGTTAAGGTAACATTTTATCTATATTATAGACTAGCTGTTTTCTCGTGACTGCCTGCGTAGATGTGGCTTCCCATAGGTGAATAAAATGTCATGAGTAGCACTTTTAAAAATTACCTCCTATAACTTACTGGGAAACTAACATAACATAAATTATATTAATATAAATTTTATCTACTTTTCCTAATGCAGGATGCTGAAAAGATTGCTTGGCCAATGGCTCAAAAATAAAATTGATTATTTAAAAATGACATTTATTGTTTACTAGCTGTAACCCGCAGCTTCGCTCACATGGTCCAAAGATACTGTGTGGACACTGGCCTGTTATATTGAAGTCTAAAGCTAATTTTAATTAAAAATCTGCCAGTAAGCATCCACCTTTATGTCATCACCATTAGCTTATCAACATCCCCAGTACTGAGGCATAGGCCTGCCCAATAGATGGAACCAATTATCCAGTTGCTCTTCTTTCCATTTTAGTGCGCAGTAGAACTGACAAGCCTTGCAAAAAATAGAAACAAATGTTTTCGTTGATCTAATAGACCTTTTATTGAAGTCTTCTTGAAGTCATCTGATCCACATAGCAACTTGATTTTCAGTTTGTTCTTGCTTTCTCAATTTACTATTTTTAGAGATTTTAGTGCGTGACATGCGTGAAATTTTGCTAATAAATATTCTGCCATCTCTTCAATTAGGAGGTATTTAACATTATATAGGTTTAGTCTACTCAGTATTTTTTTCACCCAATTTACTTTGAATTATAGGTGCTATTTTAGATAAAACTGTTTCTCACCATTAGTAGCTCATTTCAAGTATTTTTTTTAATATTTTTAGGTATTCATAATTATCAACAGTTTAGTACATTTTTCACAAACGTAATTACCCCTCAGTTAAGTATTACAGTATCTCGTTATAGTCACAAATATATTATTTTGTCGTCCGATGAATAATTCTCCTCTAAATTATGTTTTATAAATAAACTGGGCAAGCATATTAACTTTGAATTAACCTATTTTTTTGCGCTTTTTTATAGGTAATGGTTTATCCTTAAAAAACGTATAAAAGAGGTTTGCTATTTTCAAAGGAGTTCTTCAAAATTTTAAATACTTTTAATCTTCTTTTACTCGAAAATTTGTAAAACCTATCCAACGATACCCCTCGCAATGGGAAGATAAAAAAATTTCATCCTCAACTTTAGTGGAGGAGGGAAATGAAATGAAAATATCTTTATTCAAGTAGGCTATTACAAGCACTTTTGAATCGTCCAAAAAAATTTTTATCCTACCACTTGTTCAGGACGTCTTTTAGCTGACAAGAAGAACAAGCGAAAGAAACACCAGCTTTTTATCATAAGTAATTTACATGAATCATGTCATTACCAAAATAATTTGTATTATCACAATAATAAATACAACTTTCAAAGTCTGTAGGACATAGGTTGAACATATAATTAGTCTTTATAGAACAAAGCGAAGGCTATTAATTCCATGCATTGCGATCCTTAAAATAATCATCAACTTTATAATAGCCTTTACTCATATAAAAAAAATATATTTTTCAAAATTTTATTTAACCACTTTATCGACGTGATTAAATAAATGGTAATAGTAAACCATGCTGAATTACGCCTTTCCAATACACATCGTTTTTGACGTAACAAAAATCAAAATCCCATTTTAAAAGTACTGTAGAGTGATCAGTAACGACAGTTGAATGTTACATTTTATTTTTTCGTCTGATCAACAATTTCCCATTAAATAATGTTATAGGAAATATCGAAAACGAAAGCTACGTTGGTTGATAAAAATCGGAAAAAATAAAGATTACAAACATAACCAAAATAATAAAAATCCCGTTTTAAAAGTATAGTAGCGTCGTCTTGTGATCAGTAGGGACAGCTCAATGTAACATTAAATTTTTTCGCTCTATTAAAAATACCTCATTAAATTACGTTGTTGGAAAAACAGCAAAATTGAAAAAGAAAAAATCAAACATAACAAAATCAAAATCCCGTTTTAAAAGTAAAATAGTGTCACTTAATGATTGGTAGCTGAGCCAAATGTAACATTTTCGTGTTCTTAACAAAAATAACATAAAATAACTTAACAAAAACTGAGAAATATTAACAACTTTTCTTAAATCCATGCTTTTGTGTCCTAGAAATAAATTAATAGATATTATTAAAAATCACCAAAACATTTTTTGTTTTGTATTACCCAGTGAATAAGGATATGTTGAAATTACTAGAACTTTTGGTGTGCATATTAATTTAAAAATACTTATAAATTAAATATATTTATGTTACAGAAATTAATTAAATACCCCTGGAAGCCTGCAACTGAACAACGTATTGCTCGCCATGATGCCTCTGTTATGAGAAACTGGAGAGAACTCAAAGAAGGAACTTTTTCTATACCAGATGAACTGAAAAATCACTTTTTAAAATTTTCTGAACGCTCAATACCAACACTTAACAAAAGTTCGATTAAAGTGGATGTAACACAGGAAGAGAAGATGGGAGAATTTGAAAAAATTGTACAAAGATGTGCAGCAAAGGAAAACAGTGAAAATAAATACAACCTAGACTCAACACATCAGGAAACAAATTCACAAGAATCAAATAAGAAAAAATATTCCAAAAGAATGACACTTAAACAACTCACAGAAAAGATTCAGAAACGTCTTGACAGTGGAAAGGATATAGATATGAATGATGAAATTCTTATAAAATCTATGAGTAGTAATAAAGCAGAAATTCAAGCAACTGTGGACAGCAGTGAAATAGAATTACGAAAACCAAATGATGACTCTAAAATGCTAACGGAATTTAAAACTGATAATTTGAAAAATGAAAAAGATATAATGGATTACCCAGAAAGAATAAGAATACCCAAAAAAGCATACAAAAAAGGTGCAACATACAAAGTTAATGACTGCTACTATGATCATGATGGCAAGTTTCTATATAGGGTATTAGGCATGTCAACATAATATCCATATAAAATTAATTTAAAAACCCTACAAAACCTTTCCATACTGTAATTCTTGAAATATCCAGAGTTCTTTCACTTCATTTTAGACTAATATATTAAGGATAAAAATGATTATATAGATTAAAATATGTAATTTTATGACTACACTCAATTAAAAAATCTATGAGCAGTAATAAACATAAGAAAGGAAAACTGAATAAATAATGACGTATCTATGTGTAGCAATCAAAAAAGTGCGTGACATGGAAGCTCAGTGCATTATATTTTACACCTAAAAGTTATGAAATAAGTTTGGTCATAGCAAATGAAGGTTGTAAGTAGTGGTTTAGCGTGCCTTGGCGGGGGCCCAGTATAAAAATTGTTTGGGGGCCCTTATAAATATAAAGACTAAAAATTTCACAAAAGAAAAAAAAAACGTTTGTATAAACTGTGCAAATTTTAATTGTATGTACATCAATTATTGTGGGATTCCCCCGTTAAGTATACTTAAACAGAGATATCCCATAGCCCACGAAAACCGATGTAGGCCAACTTTGAAACGCACGCTTTAAGCAAAAAACAGAAGTTGCTTTTATAGTCTTGTCATTTCCGAAATAAAAATAAATTTGGAAATTTTTTATAAATTTTTGTTTTCGCACCCTTTTTCGTATGATTCATACAGCAGATACGGCGGTAGCTACGCCCCTGGTATACAAGGTAAACAATAAAAACAGAAATGAAATAACGAATTGCTTTTATTTTCTATAAAAAGTATATGTATTCGTTATACTTGTCCATTGAAATAAAATAACTAAACTTTTATAGTATTTAACACGTCTTAATATACCCACAGTAATGCAAGTGGCATGTCTTTTAAATTTTGATCTGAAACCTTATAAATAAATCATAATTCAGAATGTTAAAATAAAATACGAATGGAACAAAAATATGGCTTAATACATCACTAGAGGCAGTTAAAAATTACTATTATCATTAAATTACATTTGAATATATGAAAATAAATTAAAATTAAAACATAGAATCGCGATTGACCTATGGTTTAATTATAAACTGAGTGTTAGTTATCATAACCGCCTCTGTCTAAAACTATAGTTAGTTGTATAAATAATCATCCCGTCTTTGTAACCAAGTAGATATGAGTATTGTTTTACGCGTAGCAAGTACAGCACGCGTGCTCGCATGACGAACTCGAGAACGTTTGTCACTTTTCTTGCGTGCGCCCATACGATACTTCACTTTCAACTCGAGAAAAGTGACATTTTGCGTACACAAATCGCTTCTTGATTTCGTCATGCGAGCACGCGTACTTAACTATAATTTGCTAAAGGATACAAAGTTTTAATGTAGCAATGAAAATATAAAATGTTACGTTATTGTCGGTGATTATAAAATAACTTGAAAGAGTGGTGTAGCTATGATGGATGACACCAGAAAATTCTCACCACGTGTCCACATCTTTTTTTGACGCATCACGAACATATAATTATCCCCAGCACAAGATTTAAACAACGCCAAAGCGTACCATGCACGCAGCGTTCAATAAATACATATTCTTTGTTTTGGATAGTACGAGAGGGCAACTATTAGAACACGGACGGAACGCTTCGATTTTAGTCGGTGACAGAATGGTCTAATAGAATGTTTTATATTCTTGTGAAAATTATTTTAAATCATTGCAGGATACATTTTAAACACGCTGTCGATATATTTCATGGGAATCTGTTCTATTTTCGATGAAAATGATTGTTAGTTTAAATAGCTTAAATCGCTCAAAAAACGTTGCTCTATGTAATGGCGCTGATCACGTGGTGTTTGTGACGTCAAACGCCGGTAAATATGTCAAGGCGACATAACCTATTTATCAACTTTTTATTAACAAAGTTCACCAATTACAGGGCGTTTTCATCGTTTAATATTCCTAAAAAAGTATTTTATGTTATTTTACTAAAGCTAAACTACAGATTCTAAGAAATAAACTTTATTAGATTATTATCCAACAGGATGACCATAACGTGCAACTTACTTTCAATAGTGTCAAATACCCTATTGATGTCGCCTCTTACTAATACAATACAAAGAATATGATTTAATTGAACGCTGTATTTCTCGTATTCTTGATGCGTTCATAGTCCGGTCATAGTATTACACAGTGTTATGAAAAAGGTCCCTATGATCACGAGGGTTTCCGATGTATAGCAAAAAAAGACTATCTTGTGAATCGATTCGAATCAGAACCTTTAAGATCTATTCGGGAAAAAATCGATGAAGTAAATTATCGATCTATCTATTCTCCTAAAGTCGTACAAAAACTTTTCTATCTAAATTATTGGGGTAAACTCTGGGTGACAAATAATCGATTCAAAAAAGAATATATAGGTCAAAAAGATTGATTTTCGATAAAATCTAATCGAAATCGGAATCCCTAATGATCATGTTTAATCACGCAGATTTAAACTTATGGATAATAAATATTAGAATTCATACAACTTTCGATTCAATCAATTATGGCCATCGCCACCGTATATATAGATACACAATGATATACACACATTTTTCAATATTAAAGTTCAATAATATGATTACATCATATAATATAGTTAAATCACTCATGAATTCTTGATACATCTATAAATACTTTCAAATTTTGGCAGTCACATTATTTTTAGCTCAAATTATTCAAGCTTTGTCAATTTTTAACGAATTTAGGATAATTTTATACAGAAGACATTTTCAATTGCTTTTCTTTTCCATTTACGGAACTTCCTAAATTATTGACACAAATAATGTGACTCTCTGAACACAATAACCATAACCTACGTTATTCGTTTACGAATTCAACCGTAACGCTTGCATCTCACAAGCGCAAAATCTATAATAACACACCCGAATATTGTCGCGTTACGTTACACACTTATTCTATACAACAATATTTAATATGTACACTCGTGCTTGAATTTACACTCCAAACTATTTATCTTTAGCACCCACATTCCTAAAGTAAATGGATATGCCAATACGTGAATATTAGAAATAACTGTCTAAACTTCTCGTGCACCTTTGGGGTAAGGTAATTAGGCCATTTCGTTGAATATAAATTGCTCACCACTTAATATATAATAAACACAGTCTGTGTAAAAGACGTTTATTGAACCCAATCAATATGTTTATAAAACGCATCAATCTAAACATACTGTTCAAAGGTTTGTTTATTAGCATTATTATTCATAAAACTAAAAGTATAATAAAAATTGACACCATCAAGACGTTAAAAAAATGCTAAATCCTTTTAACATATACAGAATATTATTTCACACAATTTTGTATATATTAGTATACTTTGATTCTATTTCTGTTGAAAAAAAACAACTTACAATCAATGAATTTTTCGGTAATGTTGTTTTATTAAATAATTGGTCACCTATTTATCTTGAATTAAATGGACGGGCAATGAATGCAATAATTTTTGACGCTGCCCTTTTTATCGAAAAGTAACTGGACGGTGGTATGCTGCAGTGCTATATTAGAGGTTCAAATCAAATTAAACCTACTTCAGATTGTAATAAAGGTTTTATTTAATTTAACCTATAATGATGTGATAACGCTGTGTTTGACTCTCACATTTTACTAGGACAAGTGATCTGTGATGTCTTACAAACTAAAAATCAGTAACGATTTTTAATTAAATTTATATACTTGTGTCATCATCAATTTGGTATTAGATAAAGACAAAACATTGAATCTGTGTGCAATCTTTATGACTTCTTGTATAGACCATCGTTCTTGAGAATCTGTATTTATAATAATTTATTCTTCTCTTGTAAAGAAAATCGTATAAACCGATTAGGTCATTTATTGTTTGAGAAATCTTTAGATACAACAGAAACAACCTGTCCCAAATAAGAAATAAATTATTTGGGACACTGGAAATCACTTCAACTAATAAACTTGACGAATCTTAATAATATTGCACACGCACAAACTTAAAATTTTAATAACTTGAATACTTATTTAGCTGCAAAAACTGTAATCATACCGTTGCCTTATTCAAAACTCAACGCCATCCTTACAACTACAATAGTCCGAAATACATAGTTCTAAAGCATGATATCGAATTAGCATATTACTTACAAAAATAAATCCTTATTATACACAATACGAACTTTCAAACGCCCTTAAAATTATTAAGAGAAGGCGAGACGAAAGAGGTGAAATTGTTCGTGGATTTTTCCAAGAAAATTCGATCTTATCAACATACGTTTAGTGTCCAAAGTGGGATTCAAACGCTGTCTTCGAATTCGAGCCGTAACCTTTTGAAGTAATGCCTGCAGCAGACCGCGATAGGTGATGGTGGCAGATCGTGCGGTCTGGTTTCGCCTCCAGCTTTTTCCAGAGCGCGAGTGTATTCCCGCTGGAGTGCTATGAAATCTATATTGTTTTCGCCAAGTGCCGCCATGGCGAGGAAAAGGACATCTCTGCGAATACGAAAATTCCACAAATGTAGAAATTTTTTCTTTATTTTAGTGAAAAGTTGAAATCGCAACCATTTTTCTCTTTAGCATAAAAAAACAGTTTGTATGAAAACGTATCAGAAAACATAAATTTGGATTTTGAAGTTTTCCTATAAAAACTAAGGTGTTGGTATGAACATTTATTGAATAGTCAATCCTATCGAAATTATTAATTATCAAATATTCAAATTATTAATTATAATACAGGCACACAACACATTACATATAATTAACAGTAAAAAAAGGACAATACAAAGTTGAGTGTCTCATGACTGCACTAAAAAGGGTGACTAGTTCAGTATTAGTCAGCTAGGGCTGACGCTGATTTTCAACTATCACTCTTCTTCTGACCCACAGACCCCAGAACGGCTACCAAAAGTGTGATAACATGCAATGCTACAGTCACAAAGAGCATCCTCAGTTACTGTCACAGTTGCAATTAGTTATTTCTTATCAATATAAAATTAATATATTTAATAAGATAGGATTAAAAAAAATGGATTTAATATATTAAAAATATCCACAAAAAATTGTTGTTACATTGAGAAGATTTTTTTTTATTATTGCTTTTTTATAACTTTTTTGAAACCACAGAAGTTATAAATAACCATTAAATCCTAAATGTTCTAAAGAAATAAATTCCATGCATGATAAGTGTTACTGTAAAAAAATGTCATACTACTACAAGATGCGGGAAAAGCTAATTGTTTTTAACTTTTTAAAGTGTTTTAGAGTTTAGAACCCAAAGGGTAAGACGGGACCCCATTATTAACACTCCACTGTCCGTCCGTCTGCCATTAGGCTGTGTCTTGTGATTCGTGATAGTTAGACTAGTGAAATTTTCACAATGAATACAAAATAATCAAATTATTGCTTGTTTGCGTTTCGGAACCCTTTGTGGCCACCCTAAGTCCGACTCACACTTGACCTGTTATTTTATTCCACTGCGCAGGGTTTAATTAAGTACCGGGTAATGTATAGTAATATCTACCTGTAATATGAGTGATAACGTTTAGTTGCCGACGTGGTGTCCCGCCAGGAGGCCAGTTTACGCAATGCGTCCGTCAAGTCGTTGCTCAGGAGACCGTCTAGGATCGCTAATATCACGCTGTGGAATAAATGTGTTACGATTTGAATGTTAAGAATGATTATAGATTAATTTAAGCCTATATCGATTATGGAAGAACTTATCGTGTTAAATGGACAATACACAAATAAAGAAACATCTTGGTAGACAACTTGCCTAATTATTTATATATACACACACATTGTTTTATAATAAAAATCAATCATTTAAAAGATCAGCAAAATATGGTAGTTTCGGTAGTGAAAAAAAAACTAGAAAGTTTCACACATCATTAGGTACTTTTTTTCAATTTTCTGACATTCAAGAAACTATAACTTCAAACACATATTTATTCATTAATTAATTAATTTTATTCATAAATTTTACGCATCATTATAAAAAATGAGGTCCACACTTTATACTTTTACGTATTAATATAATAATACAGGTGTAGGCAGTGAACGAAAATATATTCCTTTTTTTTCTGGTAGTGTAAACTAATTATGAAATACAAATATTTTATGTTCGTTGTCACGTAACCGCAAACAGCGTGTGACGACACGCCCTTCTTACACATACCAGAACTTTTTATTTAAGAATTTAACGTTATGCATACATAGAACTATATTCGTTTCAGAGTGCCGTGATGTTATAGCGATGCCATGACAGAATGAGGAAGTATTTAAAAAAAAACAAACATTTGTTCCCGAAATCAAACTAGATGTCGATTGAGAAATCAAGATGTACTGTACGTTCTTGATTTCTCCATGACAAAAGAAATTTAGTTTTCAAAACTCAATAAACAGCACATATTCTATATAATGCTTTTCGTATTTGTATTGATTTCTAAGTTTAGAACTTTTCAAATTTCCGTTTTTCAACATTGTTAGTTAAAAGGAACGGAAATTATTTTAATTGCTAGTTACTCGATTGTAGACAGAGCGTGATCACTGATCATCGATACTTTTAATTTTATTAGAAAAGTGACACTGACTTTGACAGTTCGTTAACAAAAACCAAATTGCCGCCATTTTCGCACACATTTAGAGCTGTAAAAGTAACGAATAAAACTGTACCCGTATGTATTCGTTACTCTAAAAATCATTACTCGTTACTTTCGTATCGTTACGTTACTCGTTACTTCCAATACCTCATATTTATGTCAGAGCTACGAATCGAATTGTACAGTATGATATCGCAACATTCGTTATTTGTAGTAACGTTACTTAAGTAAGTACTGAAAAATGTTATAATTCAAAAGCACCAAATGGGAGTAGAAAATCATTTATTTATAATAAAATTAGACATTTTAGGGCAGGAATCTATAGTTCATATTTAAAAATAAAATCTTTTCCTTTAATATTTGGACCGATTTGGAAAAAATCCTTTCAGAGAAGGATTTACTTCGGTACCGGTAGTCATCACTGATAAATATTTCTCAGGCATATTTGAAAGTTCGGGATATAAAAAATAATGCGTTCTTCTAGATATTGCCTCATGCAATAAATATACCTATTTCTATTCTGTTATTAATACTTTCTTACCTTGTTTCTGTACCAAAATCAAACTTTTATACACACAATAATTTTACTCAACAGTAAAATACTTGGACGAGTAATTTCCAAATTATTCTATAACAAACGTCGTTTTTTGTAACGTACATTTTAAACTCATCGAATAAGCGCGCGCAATGGGCGCATGCGTAATATCAGTAGGCAGATACCATCAACAAGCGTTTCAATACACGCATCAACGGCACTAGTACATAAACTGAAACAGTATTGGTACTTGGTACATACGAAAAATGCGAGTAACGAAATGCATTCGTGAGTAACGTTTCGTTACTCGGTACCGAATACATACGATTTGCTACAGCTCTACACACATTCTGTTTCCGATCGCCAAGGAGTAAAGACATCCGACGACATCACGCTCATCTCGTTATATTTTCGTGTGAAAAGTGATAAAATGGAACAAATCCACGTTGGTATACACGCCTGCAGTGTTATTTTAAAGATAATCCTCCGATATGGACGATCTATTTGAGCTTCGTAATAGCCCCTTCTGACTACCCGCCGTTATATATATATATTTCATGTATATCTATAAAATAAAAATATCTACACCCCTATTATAAATGTTGTACACTCACGAATGTGTGGCGGAGTGATCGTTCTCGGTGAGTAGCAGCGCGCGGACCGTTCGCGAGCGTTGATGTTCCGCTCGCCGCTCGCGCCACGCCCGGTGTAACGCGACACCCGCTTCGCCGTGCAACCGCACCAGATCCCAGCAGCACACAACGCGGCAACCTATAAGTGTATTATAACCAGATGTGCTAAACCTTTTTTTATATATAAATACGGCAAAAATTGGTTAGAGATCTTAATAAAAAAATGTAATTCAAGGATAAAATTTACACACGACTCGTGTATGTAAGATTTTGACGTCAACATTCAATGTCTCGAGGTTTATAATCGAGTGGAGAAAATTGACAGTTTTGTGTCACCTCGCATGCTGCTTTACATTCTTCAAAACTAGAAATATCTGGCTGACTACAAGTAACTTTAAGTGGTCCGTAGGTAAATTAAATATAGATAGATTAGACTGTTTTAATATAATTAATATATATGCAGCTATTTTACTGGGAATAAAAATTTAATATTGAACTACAGCAAATGGTGAACCTTCTATCCGAGAATAACGAGAAGATGAGAATGAGAGGAATAAGGATGTTAAACGGTTTGATTGCGTTATTATTGGCCATTCGGATCCTTTACAGGCTCCGTGCTCACATCAAACTAAGGTGTGTGTGTGTCTTTTTAATTAAGAGTATAGCTACCCTCAAAACAATAATAATGAATACGAGCTATGTTTGCTTACCAACTTTATGAATCTCGTGCAGAGCGTCTGTGCTCTGATAACGAGTTTGAAAATCGGGGCATAGAAGATCCGGCAAATGGTTCTCTATATTGGCTCGTTCCAAGAACCAAACGAGATTCCAATAAACAATCGGATGCGACTCTACGAACTCCGGCTCGGCCAGACACGCGTCTCCTTCTCTGCCTATAAGAATGAAAACATACTAATATCTATACCATTCAAATAGATTCACCTACCAATCGTACGAATTAACATATAATGATGGTAGGACATGATACTGCCTCTAATAAACAAATAACCTTTACAGATATAATTTAAATATATTCAATATACGATTCGAAATTTTCCGAATTTTCGACTGTTCGATTGTTCGACGACAAATAGAATAGACCCTCAGGTGTCATGTTAATTTATACAAGTTATTTACTAGTATAAAAAAGCACTTACCCAATATAGATTCGAATTCTTTCCTTAGAACTAGAGGGTTTAAATAAGGCACGCTCAGTATCTCCGCTTGCGTTTGATTAAGACGAAGTATCTGAAAGCATACAGTCAATAAAAGTTTAATCTTAATAAAGTTTACATGGCTGTTACAAATATCAACATATGTTAATGAAATTTAGAAAGAACAAAAAAAAAACGAGCAATAGACTAGTTGACTACTTTTTTTTTAATAAATAATCGATTAATGTCTGAGAAATAAAGTAGAAGAAACAGCATGCCCGCAATTAATAGTTGCGGAGTTAGGGTCCTGTTTGTGGAACAGTTGCTATTCGCACGAAAGCGCTCCCAATAAATTCAAGGCACAAGTGACGTCACACCTTGTTACGGTAGCGTAAACGTATGGGCGTCTCGGTAATCTTTGTAATATCTTTGTTATTTGTTTAAGTTTATGGTTTTTATAATAAAAGTTGTTGCGTTTTATGTAACTAATTTAATGTTATATGTATTTTGGCAATTTTTTTTTCCTACTTTTTTCAAGTTTATACTATGCTGTAATACTGTACCTGTACAGATAGCAAGGGCACCGTATGCCGTCCACATGCGGTGCAACGGGTATTGAGATTTGAATCGTCAGCGGCCCACCCTGCCATTATATCCTCGTCGTACAACAAAGCAAAGCACTGATGGCATTGCGAACACGACGACATCTGTACTTTCACCGACGGCGTTACACTACTACGATGCTCCTATATAAATTAAATCAATTAGCGAATGTTAGAATGAATCGAGCACTATGGGCATCCCTATTTTTCAATTACATCACGCACATCCTTATTTATGTACTCAATGCAATGTAATTTTTTGTGAGGAGTATAAATAAATAATAATAAATCCTTATCCGTCAGTTAGCTGTCAGAAACACAATACGCGTACTCAATATTCGCATATTATTATGTCTGTATTAAATTATACATTTATTTATTTTGATATAACCGAAAGATTTTGATGCATCATTAGCAATCACATATGATAAAGTTTTCAACATATTTTACTTTTGAAGTGCGTCTTCGCTTTCATCCGAATAAGCAACATAGTCTAGTTCAGTTCATCCGCTAGCCACTACCGAGATAAATGTTGTTGGCGTGGCGTTTTAAACGGGATGAGGAATCGTGTTAAGCGTGATCGTATTAATCGTGTTCTACTGTATAAAACTTTTTTAATTATCTTAAGGTACCAAACAAAAAAGTTATATATATAAAAAGAGTAAATAATTATGATAAATTTTATTTTTCTTACATTTGGCGTTGGATAGAGGTTATCCGGCAGATGAGAGAGCAAAGTAGCGAGAGAACCGCGCTCCATCGAACACGCGAGGTCTGCGTCGCTGGAAGCGCGACGGAAACCCATACCTCCTACCCACTCTGATAATCATATCGATATAAAGTTCAAATTCAATTAATTCAAATTAATTGAAACGTAATAAAAGCGTTAATAAAAATACATCAAACTCATTGACCGTCTTAGGAAGCGAAAGAAACTAACTGTAGTGTCGTTTGTATGTATCCGAATCATCTGACTGTAGACTGATGTATCAGCTATTGCGAGTATTGTAAAAGGGGCTTTAATGTTTTAAACAAAGCTATAATTTTTATGTATATTACATTGTGTATTTCATAACAAAATTCTTAAATCAAATTACCATCTGGGTTAATTTCGGATGATCCGTCTGTTGGGTCCTCTTCAGTAATAAGACTGCTTAGAGCACTAGTAGCATTCCCTATGGCACCCTTCACCGGCGTAGAATTTGCCGATATCACCTCCTTCATTTCATCGAACTTCTTCGCCATACTAGTTGCAGCAGATTTCAGACTGCTCAAACCGCTTTGCAGGAGCTCGTTTGACTTTTTACCCGCAATACTGGTTGGACTGGAAGAAAAGTAGTAATGAAGACTTTTTTCTTTTGGGTAGTGTTGAACCTTACTAATAAGCAGTTATACAGTGTTAAGTCTTTTACAATCATTGAAATGATAACTAAACAATTGTTAAATTTTTGTTATTAGTAAGGGCATAGGTATCGTACAGACATTTGTTCTAATAGTCCGCCGTCTTTAAAAACTAACGTTGCTTTACATTTAAGATGGACATCATAATACGTGTTACAGAAATAAAATAAAAAAAAACTCAAAAAGTTTAACAAACGTGCAAAATCATATAGTAACATGCTTATTGTAGCGACTTTATACATCGACACGGGACCTAAAGTTATATTTTATTAAGGATTAATTGAACTTGATAAAAATCTAAATTTTCGGAAACATATTGAAGCACTTTGCTCTTAAATCTAGGCGTCTTCAAAGCCCTCATACAAATACTAGACCCTTACCAACTAAAGCGTGTTTATTATGCTCTTTGTCAATTGTTTTTCACATATTGATGAGCAGACATTTTTGAGCAAGTGTGAGGCATCCAAGAGTATACTGAAGAGATTAGAGACTACACAAAGAGCGATTTTGAAGTTGCGACGTTCATATTTCCAATGATACTAGTAGAACTGAATCAGTTTTGTGAGGTTCTTAAAATTAGGCAGTTGTTTGTACCTATATTATAAATTATTGTAAAAACAACACTCTGTAGTTACCTATAATCCGCTAATTGAAACAGTTAAGTACGAAAAAGTATCTAGCTGGCTACAGACACGGTCATACGAGGGAACCGAGAACATCATGATTTCTGTGCTATGACGTCAGCCACCTTTGTAGATTTATACATTATCTATCACACATCCACACGCATGAACACACGTACGCACACATACACACACACACACAAATAAAAACAAAGCTGAAAATATTATGAATTATTTGTCTTTATTTGTACTAATTTTTATTTTCATTAAGACACTTACAGACAGTTAAATTGTATATGTACAAAAAGACACATACTTCCATATAAGGAAATTAAATTGTAAAGTATATGGGCTCTATGGGGACTTATGTGCTGATACACAGTAATTTGGATTTCAATATGTTTGTTCCTATTTCGGAAACAGTGCGGTAACTTAAGTTGTAATCTATTTCTGTAAATTAACTATAAATGGAATATTCCTGCTTTATATAATAAAGATTTTTAATATTATAATGTACATATTATAAAGTTGATGACTTCTCTTTTCAAGTCCGCTATTTGAAATTTTTATTTGAATCGGCAGGATCATTGTAAGTTACGATCCATGTCATGTATTTAAATATATAACATAATATAAAACCAGACACAATACTTTGAGTTATTGCTCGTTTTTTTGGCCTGCCCTAGGTAAAGACTTTATTTGATTTGAAGTAGTTGAAAGGCAAATTATTTATAGAAACTCTATAATAATCGAATATAATTCCGATTGCACCTAATGCTACTTACCTAAAATAACTCTCGAAGACAGCTTTGCTTATTTTCATGTTTTCCTTGCGCAACGACAGTCTCGCGGGCGAATAGCGTCTAAGAAAACAAACAAGCTAGCAAATAATATGGTGCGATAAAATAAAAATAAACATATATATAGTACACACTTAAAACGTGATTTACTACAGCAGTGCAAACACATGACATGAGAATGGACAAACATCATATGTGTTCCAAACATATAACAATTCACTTAACTATGCTGATATAAAATTATATAAATTTATTTATTGTACATATGTTTTTATTTGGTAATAATACATGAAATGTTTGTCCACTAGAAACAAAATTAATACACCAATCATTAATAATTTTTTGACAGATTTTACTTATGAAACAACATCACATTACTACCTTGTTTAGTTATTCCTGGTTATTCATTAGGTTGACACTTCGCTTATGCTAGTCATTTTCGTTTCGATATCGCATAAAAGACATTGCAAGAATATTTCGAGTAATAGAATGAAATCAATTTCAATATCGAAAGTTATATTTAAAATAATAAAATATTATAAGTAATATTATAATCAGACAAATAGATTACTGCGATCTCTCTCAGTCGAGTATCGTCTCAATACCTGGTTTTTCGTACTCTAGTAAAGTGACATGACTCATCATAACCTAATACCCCACTGCCCGGGGTGTTGGTCTTGCCTATGGATAAAATCGAATCAAATAAGGAGAATGAGCCATGACGCGCCACGCGGGCCCATTGCGAATTGATGGGTGTTAATACACTATACACTAAAATCTATATATCTTGAATAGCCCAGTGAAATGCCACCATTACATTTAAAATATAATTTTAGTCTTTGAAAAGTACAAATTTCGAGAAACCATATTATAACCAATATTAATAAATGTGAGACTAATAATGTGATATTATAACCGAAAAAAAAATGTATTTTATTAGACAACTAAAATTATAAACAAGGCATGCTTTTATAAGTTACTCCATTGCAGTGTTACACGTTAAGAGGATAATCAAATCGCTAATGAACGAAATATATACAAATCAACTAAACTGATAATTATAAATATCATATTTCTAAATAAACTGGAATAATATATTGAGGGAATTTTCTTAGCATTACGTCAGCATTTATCTCTAAGACAACAGTTTTTTTTAAACCAGTCTTATAGTGACCATTTATAAATGTAAAACACTGTTTGGGAACCACGCGGGCGATGCAACTGACGGAAAAACTAGTCAAATACAAACTTCTTTTTGAATTAACGTTGACGGCAACTTTCGTACGTCTCAGTCCGCTATAAGTATAATATATAGATTATTTTCCTACTTTATCTAATCAAAGAATGTATTTTGTGGAGAGAAATAAATGCTCATTCTTTCATTACATCAACATCAAACACTGAGCTTATACCTCTTGGATACTACTTCATATTTCAGTGCGGTTGTGCAAATCGTTCTGATATCTGTTGCTATTTTTTCTATACATCAACTGAGCATTTTACAATAACTCGTTATGTAGTAGTAGTCCAATAATATAGTACCTAGTAGTCCAATAGTTACTAATACTCACCCAAAGTTTATCTTCAGCGTGTTGCCAAGACTAGCAAGACTGGACGACACAGTGCCACCAGGTGCCGTCTCACTCCTATGCAGTTTCCTGTAGGAGAGGAAACTATCGAGGTTATCGTGTTTCACTAAAGGGCAGCACTAGCCATACAGTATTGGGGCTAAAAGGATAGAAAAGGGAAATTATTATTGTATAATTTTTATGATATTGTAAAAAGGTAAAACATGGATTGCTACTGGCAGCACTAAATTGTCTATTTCACTTTGGGAAATCTGTCATTTAACTGAAACTGTCACTTTTACTTGAACGTTTAATGAGTTTCGCGTCAATATGCTGGCGTGCGAATTGTCATTGTTGTGAAACTACTGAAATCAACATGGATTATTATAAATTATCAATTGAATAGTAAGATGTGTCTTTCAGTTTCTACTTTATTTGAAACCAATTATGAATATGTAAAGATGAATGATATGGCAATTACGAGAGCATCGTCTAAATTAAAATATGAAAAAAAAACTATTGAACCATTACGAAAATTAGGAGAGCATTCACAACAAAATATACCATGCGGGATGAGCGAGAAGCAACATAGAAAAATACAGAAGGTTCATTCGGAAAGGCTGCCTTACTAATAACTTATTTCAATTTATTTTCAGAATTTATTGCGTGTATAAATTTACCTTAATTTTAAAATATAAACGTTATTAAATATAAATCGAAACGATCCTTCTGTACTCGTGTAGAAGCCTACTCTGTTTCTCCAAAAATAAACTTTCGTCTAATTTCGAAACATTTAAATGACCATTATTCAATTATTTATATTGGAACGGTAGTAGAGCCGTGCACTGCCTTTGATCTGCAGTAATTCATGTGAATACTATTAGTTACTTCACAGATATAACAAAATATATTAAATTGTTGGATATTCTATCTTAAAAGTAAACAACAAACTATATAGTATTGCTTGCTTTAAAGGAAATTCTATCTTTGCATAATTAACTTGCGATTTATAATCTGTGGAATATAAGAAATGTCATTCCTTATAATGATGAGCAGCCATGACGTAGCATCGCGCGTGATGGAATATTTCAATAGATTAAATGTGAACGTCTTAGTTGCGAGTGCAACCAGTACTCATGTTTATTAAAATATAAAGTCACGGTTCGAAGGTTACGTAACTGCTCGCGGGAAAATTTAAATAAATAATAATGTTTTTCTTTTATATAATAACGTTTTCGATAAAATTAAACTGATAGTAGTTTAATATGATAATATGAAAGTTTGAAAATATTTTTCCCAAAACAATCAAGTAGCCAATTATTAAAAAAAATATATATTCGTTTTTGTTTAAACAGAGTAAGCCTTTTGATCATGTAGCAAACGTCACTGGAAGGTGGTTACCCTTGTTGCTCTTCGACGGGATCGTCCTGGAACGAGTTGCTCCTGCGGTGGAACAGTTTGGGGCTGACGCTGAACTCGTGTCGGGGGGCGGGGGCGTCTGCCTCCTGCGCGGGGGGCGGCGGGGGCGAGGGGGGCGGAGAACTTAACGCGCCTAGAGGATCGTCACATAGTACCGGCGTGCGAGGTGATAACCTATAGATTTTTACAATTAATCAAAATATTCTTTTGCTATACTAACTTATATTATAAAAAGAAAAAGTTTCAATGACAAATCTATCAGGGGATTTTTTAAGAATTTTTCATTAATTTATTTTTTTGTTTATAGGGTATCTGATGCGTTCATGGAAATTCTTTCACGTACGGGAAACTACATCATACGCATGTAACATAGGCTATGTATAATTTACGAGGGAAAAACAGCTAGTTTCAAATAAAGGTATCGAAACGCATTTTTATTGCCCACGACTTTTACCCATTCAGTACCATAAAAAAGAAAGAGAGTAGGTTATCACTTTTCTCTAGTCGAGAGTATTCATCATGATCCGATCATGAAAATTATTTCACCTACGAGTTTTAACAACATCGTAACGGATGATATAAACTATAATTTATTCGGATGAAGCCACACTTGGATAACAGTTAGTCTTATATAATAATGATGATGAGTGGTGTTCAGGAACATATATTGAGTGTTTAACCTTTAGATAATAATCTGCTTCTGAAATAGCTCGTTGCGACAAGTGTCTTTAGTTTGTTTAGAATATGATTAAATTTAATTACTTCAAAGGCGATGATTTCGACGTAACTGATGGCTCCGTTGCAGCTGCTTCTTTATCGGGTTCTTCAGGGAAGCTGAGCGCTCTGGTACACCGTGATTTAGAATTTGCCACTAAAAGGTTACAGACTTCGTTAGATAATTCTTCATTTCTTAAAGAATACCATAAACCATTTCATAGACAAGACTCACCCCCAGAAAAGGATAGCCTCTGTAAGTTTTGGACGATTTGGGCATCGCCAGCGAAACTTTCGGACCGTGTTAGTATTCTTAAATCTGAAGGACTGTCCGGGCTTACGTGTATAGTCTGGAACAATTATTACTTTTCAAGTTACAATGAAAAGATATTAATGACAATCACGATAATGTAAAATCAATAGCAGATAACGTTATCAGAAACTGCAAATTTAAATATGTTAAAAGTAATGTTTAAAAAATTGCGTACTTTTTGTACAAAATGAAAAAAGAAATCTACCACTTCCACATTATACTAGTTATTTTGATTTAATTCTTTTTTATTGATATTTCTACCTGTCTTTTTTCTGCAATTGTTAGAGGAGCACTACTTTCCTCTTCATTCCCTAACGAATTGCTTCGTGGTCTTGTTGGTTCAGTTAAATCGGGAGTTGAGGGCATTCCTGAAAATTAATCAAATTAGGTCTGCTGGTTATCAAAATTGGTCACGAGGAAATCTTCAAATTTTAAAATATCCATCATTAACCAATGTGTTTAAAGTTAACTAGGTATTAAAATATTGTGTTTGATATATCAAAAAGTAAGAAAGATTCGATCTCCTTTAATTGTTATTTTAGTACTTCAAGATAAATAATGTGAATCGAACAGATATACAATACAATACAAAGAAATTAACAAAAAGTAGTATGGCCATAAAATCATTTATAATTTCAATTATATTGCAATTTAATAAATGTAAGTCATTTTTAAAAACAACAAATTTAGTTGCAAGCCGTGCGAATGCTCACCTGTTACCCTACTTTTTATATTATCTGTATTGTAAGCTGAATGGACGTGGTTTATCTTTTTTAGAGCTTCACCGAGCAGATTTACCCTATTTACTAATCTATGTTAACGTAACAAGGTTTATTATATAGTAAGTAGGTAATAAGTAAGGTATTCCCCTATACGTTACTGGAAATTCTTGCACGCGTACTACTTTTTAATTGTTTTATAATAAACAATCAAATATTAAATAAGTATGATTTATTTAATATTTGACCGTCTTCATTTTACACATTTGATTTAAATTATCAAATATTAAATCAAGCCACTGGCAGCTTCAAAAGCGCAGCTTTTTATATGCATGATATATAACAGATATTTTGATATTCATTATAACTATCAGATTTTTGCTAACCCTGCTTAAGAACTATCAAAAATTTCCTTCTGAAAAAATGAGACGGTCGTGGCCAGTATTTCATCTTAAGCTATAAATTAATGATATTTTAACAGTCTGGATGACAGCGGTTCGATGATAGCAGTGACGGTGGTGAGTATACGTACCGGTGATGAGTATGCCAGCGGCGGCTGATATGGCGGGCGCGTGCGGACGGGCGGGCGCGGCGCGGACAATGTTCCCGCGTCTACATAACAACTCGTCGAAAGCACTGGAACGTGCCTCTGCCTCGCCACGGCCTGACAATAATCATCATCATCCTCCAATGATGTGTAAAAAGTTTAGGTTTTTTTACGCACAACATTGACAACAAGAAACTAAGGCACTTAAATCACATTTCAGCAAGCGTTGTGGTGGCTAATGACATTTTCACGATGCACAAATTACACATTGACAATGTGAAAAGCAAAAAGATATAATTTCATGCGTAAGTACTGTACTTACTCTTTTTTATTTCAATAAAAATAATAAAACTTCATTGAACGCGGTATTTTTCCGTGCGTGCGTGAGATTGTAGTTGACACATAAATGTTTATCTCGTTCTAACAAGATAAACATACTTGCTGTATGATTTTAATAGGGAGACAACAATTTTTAATGCCTCTATTCGCGCTCTTTGTGGTTGTTTTATATTATAATTTAACGCTACCACAATAAAGTTTGAACATCATTGGCATCATCATCATTAGCCCTTTTACGTCCCTACTGCAGGGGCTCAGGCTTTCCTTATGGATGGTTAAGGAGGCACGCTGGCCCCATGCAGGTTGGAGGATATTAAAGACTACAAATGCAGCCGGGACCAAAGGCTTAACGTGTCTTCCGAAGCACGGAGTAGCTCGAGATAATAGTTTTTTGACCACCCAGCCCGTGGCTAACTTACCACCACCGAGTTGCTAACATTGTTTTATTTCAATAATATTGTTTTACATTTCATACACCACTAAATTTAATTTGTTGTTACTGAATACTTAACTGTTTTATCTTTTGTTAATACTTAATTGATAAGGAATAGCGAAATCCTCTGGAACTAGAGTCCTAAGACACTCCTAAGGAGGTCTCAACTTATGTAAAGAAAATGTTAATATTTAGAAACAATAAATATTAGTATTATTCAACATTGATGATTTAGAAGTAACCCAAATAAAAGCTCTAAAACTACTGGACCGTTTTTTTTTTAAATCAGCTACCAGAAGCTACATTATACTCGAGTGACATACGCTGTAATTTATACGGGCGAAGTCGCGGTACACTAGATTTTTAATGGTGAAGTTTTTATTAAATTTGCATAATATATGAAAGCACAGTCGCTGAAAAAGTAATTCGAACGTTGACCTTTCTGCCTACTGATAAATATCGTAAACATTTAAGGTTCACTTTACTATGACAAAATTGGTTACATACATCTGTGCGAGTGCATTAGCAATATACACTTGACTGAAAAAGAAATACCGTGCAATAGATTTTTTTTACCCTTTCTTTAATATTTTGACCGCTTATAAGACATACCTGAATCTATACTGGTTCGGCTTTGAGCGGGCTCGCAGGCGGCCAATCCGGCTAGAGCGGACAACTCGCCGCCTTCACCTACCGCTGCTGCAGACCTCACTCTTGGAAGCGTACCGCTACCTAATGACATTATAATTTTTTATAATGTACACGGATGACCAACCGATAGAGATACGAAATGATAAATCTTAATTAAAAACAATCAGGTCCCCGAACACAGACCTTCCTCTTCACTGTTCATGCTGCTAGACTCTGAAACTCTGTACCTGCTGATATATGTGACAGTCACACTGTTTCTTTGTTTAAAAAAAGAGTAAAGGATGGACCTTTCGTCTTGTTGATATTTGAGAGTGTAGGTATTAGTTCGAACAAGCAAACATGTTTGCACAATTATGTAAGTTCTTCTTTTCTCTTTCCCAGTATTTGTATTTGTTTATATATTCCACATCAATTTTATACAGCAAAAAAATTATAGTACTTTTTTTCCTGTTATGGCTGGTAGAAATTTCTATTTGAAATCGGCTGTGCCCTTATGTACTAATGTCTGTTACATTTGTCCATGTGAAATTGTATGTGTTTACAAAATAGATTTGGTATAAATAAAAAATACTGTTTACAATTACAATAGTATTGGTATACATAGATTGCGCTGCTTACACAATTAGATGTCATTTTTTATAATTTACAATTTTACATGTATTATGTCTGGTGTGTCCTATATCGATGTTAAATAAATGAATTTGAATTTGGGCTTTCAGCACTCGTAGCATAACAAACTCGAGAGGCTCGAAAAACAGGTAGATAATGAGATATATCAGTTTTTACTCGTTTCTTGAGCTCATAATGAGTGTGTAGGCCAACATAAAAGTCTAGCGCGTTTATAGGTTAGTGTTGCTTTAGCGCACTGTTGAGGCGTTTGACCTGGGCTCAGCCATTGAATTTTTTTTAAAGTTATCATAAAGAATCCACTTTTCATCACATGTCACAATTCGATCCATATTCCTTCATTTTTTAAAAGAAGAACCTCATAGAAACCCTGTGAAAAAAAATTTCTTTCGAAAACCACAAACCATGTAGATTATAGTGGTTTCTTACCCCTAATATAATGGTTTCTTATTTTTGACTGGCTTACTGGATTGTCCATGCTACTGATCTCGTGTAAATGGACCATTATAAATGTATGGTTTTGAAGTATCACTCACTGCCAGCAGAAGTAGAGGTAAGTCCCGTGATGGCCGCTCGACTTGCACGTTGTGCGCCCGCCTTACGAAACAATGCAGCACCCATTACCGCAATACGTAATTTGTTCCACAACAGTTGTGATCCACTGCAAGCATATAAATTTATTATAAAATATATATTACAAATTTTTATTCTCGCCTAATCCTTTAACTAAATACATTTTAAAAATATTATTATTAATTATAAAAATTAATCTTTAAAATTTGTTTGTGTTAAAGACAAGTGTCAAATTATAAACTATTATTTTTTGTGGGTGTTTTAAATTGCTGCTTTAATAAATATGTCACTAGATTTCAATCTAAAACAAAACACTTGTAATATTAGATTAATTCTATAATTGTATGTCAGTCTTTTGTAACATCCTTTTCTGCACGAACTTCGTTACGTCGTAAGTTTAAAAAAAACCAGACGGAATAAGTCTACGGACTTTTTACGAAAATACTTTTAAGGAAATATTTTTCTCTGTAGGTTGTGGAAAGTTTGGGGCTGGACCCAGCGGGCTTCTTGCCGGGTCCCGGATTCTTCCCCCCCTCCCCTCCGAGCACTCGCAGCGGGTTTGGTGGACTTGGCTAAGGTTGCATTTCCCCTGCGTTAAAAAAAAGGTTGTGCTAAGTAAAATATAGTAAAAATGTACCTTACCTAGGCATATCTTTAGGCCACGTAGCCTCCAAGACGCACCGGTTATAATAACCGTATGTGAGCGCGTTGGGTTGCAGGCCGGCTCGCTTCATCAGAAACAGTAACTGGACTGCCAACACCGGCAGTGAATGAATACCGCACAGTTGCATCATCACTCGGTAACATACCTAAAAAATTAACCCTAGAGCTAGTTGATAAACGCAAGTTGATGACGTGCATATGACGTGGCCATATCGTAAAATTGATCATTTCATGATCTGACTGGCCATTTCATGAAATAGTAGTATTTCATGAAACGGCCACCTAAAATCTATGTAGGGAGTCCAAAAAAGAAATATAATTATTTGCTACAATAGCTTGTTTATCTTGTCCGAAAAAAACTTATCATGTGACCTACGATAGTAAATCATATAGGAAATTTAGTTTAGTTCGCATCTCAAAAACTTTTATATCCTCTAATTTTTTTTATCATCCTCTGGAGCTAGATCAAAGTCCTGTCTTTATCATAAAACGATTAAATATACTTTGCCGCCGCATCTTCGCACTACACTCCTACAATTATCTCACTAAACTTCAACGAGTAATAGGGATGACGACTAATTTTTGTTTTTCTGTCCGTCAGGTGGATTATTGAAGAATATTAAATACGTATTTTTTTATTTTTCGCGTATTCAATAAATTTTCGGCGATGTATTGAGTTGAAATGTCGCATCACGTCACGCTATGGTTCATTTTCTACAATACTGTGACGTAGCGACCCCCCACTCCTCAACTTTTGCCATTTCTTGTTCAAATTGAAGAAAAAAACAAAAACATATCTAATATTTTTCTATTATCTGACTGACGGACTTAATAGAAATTCTTTTTTTTTTACCCAGTCGTCATCCCTATTGTTTTCCATTGCTTAGTCACCCTATTTTCTTTTTATTTGTTGAATAACCTACAAATGAAAATACATCAAGTATCCCAAAAACAGTGCGACATCAGCGCCACTTATGGAGACTAATATAACTATTTTACGATTTGATCACTAATGTTTGGCCACATCATGAAACAGTCATACGATTAGCCGCCCGTATAGTTAAATGCAAACTATTCATTGATATGGTAAGGCCACATCATAATATGGACAACAATATTTTTCATTTCATAAATTGGTCAATTCTACGATTTGGCCACGACACATATACCGCACTTAACTCGGCGTTAGACAAGCGTTACTAGGACAAGTAAACTTCAAGCTAAGGTGAGTCTGTCTGTCGGGCAGATTATTAAAGAATATTAAATACATATCTTTTTATTTATTACGAAATTAATAAATTACGGCGATACATTGAGTTGAAATGTCATTAAGTATCTTCAGTCTTATCTACTTAATTACGTGTAAACTAGCCATTAGAGTAAATTATATAGTTAGTACTGAGTGAAAGTCATTCGATTATAATCAATACTAATAATATAAAAATGAAAAATGTTTTTGTTTGTTTGTATTGAATAGGCTCTAAAACTACAGGATCGATTTTATTTTATTTTTTTACATACGGGAAGTTACGTCATTCGCCGAAAACATAATTTAAGTAATGGCTAGTGTATTTATACGCTTAATTTATCACGATTACAACTAAAACTTAAGTAAACGTAAAGTAAGTAAAGTAACTAACGAGTAATGATTGCAGACTGCATTCGTTATGTACAATAAGACTTGTCCACTTGATTGAGATAGTATTGATGTAAAAATTAAAAAGTAACAAAAGTCGGGAATTCGCCGAAAATACATATACCTATAGACAATTTAACTTAAAAATAAAGGAGAATACAATACATATATACCTCGTCACATGGAACTCTCAATTTAGTGGCTCTCTCTAACAGTTCGTACGCAGTTCTGAGAGTAGCATGCTCTTTGCCTCTACTTAGCATCATCCGACTAGGCAATGACAAGAAGTACAAAGAGTAACACGCTCCAAGAAGACACTTGGCCCATGCTTCCGGTGACAAGCTCGCTTTGCGAGCCAATCTGAATTAAAAGAAAACAACAGCTTATATCGCTTACGTATTATTAAAAGTGCAATTATTAATGTCCTTACATTGAAAAATATTTAAATAAGAGCAGGACGGACTACGAAACAGTCTACGTTATGTCTAATAGCGATTTAAGAGTGCAAGCGCTTGTCAGAGCTTGTCCATACAAATTCTATTAAAATATTGTTATATTGTCACATTTAGCCGACCCCTCTCTTAAAGTGTGACGTATCGTATGCGTCGGATTTTTTTGTGGGTTTTGAGTAATTGACTCATAATCATGCTCTCTGCCTGCCCCGCAAGAGATATGGCGTAAACAATAATAAACAATTACTAAAAATTTGATTGTTATTTAAAATGATGATTTAAAACGTCATATACTAGTCGTCGTCTTTGACGTCACGACAATTGCGTCAAAAATTCAGGTGTTGTGAGTTGTTATTTAATTTCATGATTTATTTTTGTTACTCAAATTGGTTTTACTGTCATATAACGACCCAAATTATCATATAATTAAAAAAAATGGATAAATGGATAAAATAAATATAATTTATGTATTCTATGTACCTCTGCGCCGCTGCGATCTCATGTTTAGTTCGTCGCGCCATAGGCGATGCGTCGGCCAAAGACTCGGCGGAGGCGAGCGCGGCCGCGGGTAAAGCTTGTACCGCCCCGCTACGAGTCTTACAGCGACATTTCGCCACCAGAACTGGGTCCAAATCGAACTTCTCGTACGTGTAGGTTTCCTCTGTGTGAAAATTTAACTTTAAATCACTTTGTTTTAACTAAGAACCCGAATACACGGTATTATTTTTTACTAATGACTTTACGCATAGGTTTGTGAGCAAATATCTCACAGTGCTATTAATAAACAAAGTTTAGCATCAGAGTAAATTTATCCTAAAATTGTAATTTTAGTATGTGTCCAAATTCATATTTTACAGACAATAAGCAAGAAAACCTACTGCCTTCTACCTCCTACGGGGTTAAGCTTTGCTAATTCTCTGTTTAATAATATGAATTTTGACTAATACTATGTGCAGTCTCAGCGTAAATTTACTCTTATTACTATAAATATACGATACACGACAGTGCAAAAAAACTTAAAAAATCATTTATGTTTAAAGTATGGGATTATAATTTAACTCGTAGATCATACGCTATTGGTTGTGATGTTGGCTATTTAGTCCTGCGAGGCTTTTGGTGTATTGCAAATAAGCCTGTATAATACTAATATATAAGTAATAACAAAAATCGTCAGCCAATGTAATGTTCCTTATTCTAAGAGATCAAGGGACGGGGATTACGAGATGTGGTTTTATTATTGCCCCATTGATCGTCTTGACAAATCAAAAACTAACCATTTTTCAGAATCATTAACCCAACATATCAAATTATTATATTTGATCAATTTTGCATTTTTTAAGCATTTTTCATTAAGAATATTTTCCAACATATCAAAATTCTAATAAAAGATATAAATATTAAAGTACACTCACGAGGGTCAGGTGGATCAGGTGGAAGTACGAATACAGTCCTCTCTGATGTATTTGAATTATCGAGCCCCAATAGTGGTTCATCACCGGCTGCCACACGTTCTATGCATTCATCGAAGAATGTCAACCCCTGATCAACGTCACACACAAACGAACGCTCCTCTATAAAGCGAGTGAACATTTGAGTCTTCATCATTAAAGCGAAAAATCGCTGTTGTGTCTGAAAAGAAATATCCATGCAGCACTTAAAAAACTCTCGATATTCGATATATCGCGAAAAGTATGGTCACCTGTTATGAGTCTTGCTCCAGGGCACAAAAAGTTCAATTTAAGAGTATGACCGCAATAAATATCGTATACTTATATAAAAAAATATTGACCTTTGGAAACAAACAATCGACTTCTATTCCACTTTTGCAATTTTAGTATTAGTTCAAATTCATGTTATACGGAGAACATTGTTTATTAATACGAGGGTCAAACTGAAAGTTCTTAGAACTGGCCACTTATAAACAATATAATAAAAAAATAATTCTAAAATTTGAAAATATAACTCTTTGCCAATATTACTGAGTATATATTTCATTCATTTGTCATTTGTTTTACGATTTGGCGGCAAATTGAAAATTGTCTGTGTCACGTCATCATGAATTTAACACGAGAAAATTTTCGTGCAATGATTTTTTATGACTTTCGATGTCATTTAAGTCAACAAGAAAGTTATGATAGACTACGATTGGCCTTTCACGATGAAGCCCCATCTCGTGCGACTGTTTACAACTGGTTTAATGAGTTTAAACGTGGTCGCACTAATCTCACTGATGATTTACGTGAGGGACGGCCTTCTACGGCGACGACTGAAGATAACATCTGTGTTGTGCGGCGTATGATAGAGACTGACAAAAGAGTGACCTATCAACAGATTCGGACAAGCTTAGGCATCGGTATGAGTCAAGTGCACAAAATCCTCCACGAACATTTAGCGGTCAGGAAGCTTTGCGCCCGGTGGATACCTCATAATTTGACTGAGGCTCAAAAACTCCATCGTGTGGATTGGTGTCGTAAAATGATTGAAAGATTTAACGGAGGTGACTCAAATGCTGTGTTCGACATACTAACAGGTGACGAAAGCTGGATTTACTGTTATGATCCTAAAACCAAAAGACAATCTGCTCAGTGGGTGTTTCCTTTCGAGGAGTTGCCAACTAAAGTGAAGAGAGATCGAAGTGCGGGAAAAAAAATGGTGGCCTCGTTCTTTGGAAGGATAGGTCATTTTGCAACAATTGTGTTAGAGGATCAAAAAACAGTTTCTGCAGAATGGTACACTACCAATTGTTTGCCACTTGTCTTGGAAAAAGTTCGAGAGAAACGACCTCGCAGTAGGATCCTCCTTCACCACGACAACGCCTCGTCGCACACGGCCAAGCGAACGATCGACTATTTGGCGACATCAAACGTTGAATTACTGGGTCACCCGCCGTATAGCCCCGACCTCGCGCCTTGTGATTTTTATTTATTTCCAAAAATTAAAGAAAAACTTAAAGGAAAGCGGTTTATGAATGCTGAAGAAGCGGTGGCTGCGTATCGCGATGCCATTGAAGAGACCCCTAAGGACGAGTGGGCAAAGTGCTTTTCCCAGTGGTTCCATCGCATGCAGCGGTGTATTGACGTGAATGGACAATATTTTGAAAAGATATAATAAAACTAATAACTGGCTAATGTAATCAGTTTTTGATTTTCTAAGAACTTTCAGTTTGACCCTCGTAGTACCCTGTACCTAATACTACGGCTTTACTTATTGCATTGGTAAAAAAAAAATAGAATAAAAGTATATTCATAAATGGAAATCTAATATTATGTGGTTATTTTCAAGTCAACTCAAAGATTTGAAAACAAAAATAAGAAACAAATTTTTAATGAATGTTAAAATGTACAAATAAAGATCAGTCTTCGGTACCTTGACAATAATATAAAAAGGAATTTACCTTATCCCTAGACCTTAAGAACGCCTCCATATGAAATAGAGCATGAGGATCTGTTGTTCCAACGGTGGGTGCCTTAGTGATCGGTATTAGGTAGCCACGGTACCCTTGCAACGTAACCGCCATGAACCGTAAGAACGCTTCTTGAATTTTCAATTCTAATGCTTGCTGTAAAAATAGGTATAGCAGAATAAATATTTTCTAATTGATAGGATATTCTACACTACCTATTACAGATTTACAGATTATGCAGTGCGAGTCGGACTTGCGCACCGAGGGTTCTGTTACGGGGGCGGTCAGGAAAGGCTTTTTAAAAAAACCTATTTTATTTAACACTTTATTTATTTGTATGAATAAAACGATTTATTACACTATTTTAGGTCAATATGTTGTCCGACGGGAGTCCAATCCAAAACTGATTTTATTAAATATTATTATTGCGTTCAAGACTCGGTTTCCTAATGCATGACGACAATGCGATAGGAAACGTCTATGTTGCGTTTTTCATTTTAATAAGAACTAATAGAAATTATATTATAACAGTTCCCCTGAAAGTTTTGACTCCCTTGCGAGTTCCGAAAATTGGCATTGGCTTAAAAGTTTGATTTTTGCACATATTCAAGGGATAATAAACCTGAGTATTTGATATAAATTTCAGCTTGATACCTCCACGTGTTCCCGAGAAAAAGGGGTCTTAACGGACGGACAACAAAGAGGTCCCAAAAGGGTTACATTTTTTCCATTCGAGGTACGGAACCCTAAAAAAACTAGAAACTTATTAAAAAAAATGCATTATTATTAACAATTTAAATAAACTTTTGCCATATTGATATGATGAATAATCGGTAAAAATATGTATACTTTTTTGACTTCTCATGCACTTATTCACTTGCAATAAGAGCCATAATTAAAAAAGTATAATAATATCTGATTTTACAAAGCAGCACATCAGGGCCCCAGTTTTGCTAATGTTAACGTAATAATGGCATCACCATGTCGCTTTAATTAATTCTATTTTGCTACTATATAGGTGACATTGTACCTCGACAAATTAATGACAGCATATTTTTATTAATTGACACATCATAATCACATTCAAATTATTAAAATTGATATTTAATATATTAATTTTAATAATAAATTATTAAACCGCTGGTTATCATAATGTCAAATTTCTAATTGTGTGTAAATGCTAATGTCATCACTACTAACTATTTAAGGAAGCGTTTTCTTAAATACGAAATGCCTAAAAGTATCTTAATTATAATGCCCCACGCAGGTCTAGATATGGAATATACCGCGTTGCCGTGGTTACCGGTTATCTCTCTCCCTGCACCTCCATAAAGGCGCGAAAATGCACTACTGCGTATATAAAGTTCAACTTATCTGCCGCGGTCTGTACCTCTTTTTTTCTCCTTTGAAAATCTCTATCTAAACTCGTTGTTGGTTCACCGTTGAATTTGTTCTCATTTGAATGATGAATTGGCGATGCTGAAACAATTGAAAATAATATTAGCGCAAGATCCGAATTTAATTTTTATTTATAGCTAGTTGCACATACGGCCATTAAAATTGTCATTAGTTTAAATTAGGTTAACAGCTTAGGTGGCAAAATCTCTTTAATCTTCTGATTTCTTTTAATAATTTAGCTGCTCTCCTTAATCAGATTATATAATATTGGAGGTTGCATACTGGCTGCTTTAAAATATAATCTGCCACATTGACGGCTTTTTGTATTACTGCCAAAGAATAACCGATGTAAACGTTTGTATTGAAATATTATGACTTTATTATTAAAACAAATATATTTTATACTCAAAATTTTAAAAGGAATTATTATGTAATTATATGAACTTCTTGTGAAGCTAGTTAATTTCTCGTAAAATTAGTTACAACACAAACACACACAATACATTTTCTGCATGGTATAGTAATTATTTATAGTTCTCTAACACTAAGCATATTGATTAATAGATCATAGAAACCTGGTCTTATACTGCCGAAGAGAACTTCCAGTGTTTGCCTGAGTATCCTCGCTTGCCTTTTAGGTAATAATTTTAATGATATATGTCGTTGTGACTCGCATATCTGTAATAATCGAATAAAATTTTGTAAAATCGTAATTAGAACAACATTTCTTTCTAATATCACTCTTCACCTATTTATTGGCAAGCAAACACTTTATCTACTAATATTATAAATATGAAAGTTATTTATGTGAGAATAACATATTTTATTTATAATCTATATTGATACTTACTGTGATATTATTAGTGTCTAAATCTACACACGTCACGTCCGGTGGTGGTTCATAAAGATCAAAAAACCTCGAGTCAACACCTATCAGATAGGGTAAAGGTGCATGTAACACTTCAGCTAAACCTGTTCAAACAAACAAAAAAATATGTAATTTTTTTCTTGATATAGAAACAAAAACTATATCAGTTACAGTACGTAAAATGCTTGTTGTTATTTTATTTATTACTTTTTATATGGTAGGTATTTTAAAAAGGATTCTTATATGTAACAAGTATGATCTTAGATAAAAGAATAGGCTTGTGTGGTACAACTGAAAATACAGGTTTATGTTATATCTTCGAAAAATATGAACCATTTTAACTTATAAATATTTAACAAAACAAATTTTAAGTCACTGATTTGGAAAATATTACGCTTTGAAAACTTGAAAAAAGTAGAGAAAATCTACTACAAAAAATTGCTAAAATACATAAGGCATTAAATTAGATATAAAAAATGTTACAACTTTCATTATAACAGCTATAAACATAAACGCACAAATAATAAAGATATTACAAAAAATTTCCAGACACCCATACATTTTTCGCTACTGTAGCACCATGTGACGTCACTGAGTGTTTTGATTTTGTAGGTACCGTTTTCGGCCAACTAGCAGCAGTTCTACAAACACAACACCGTATCTCCGAAAGTATTAATCGCAGACATGCTGTTACTTCGACATTATTTCTCGGATGTTAATGGACTATTTATTTATGAAATAAAAAAAAAAAGTTGTCAACTAGCCTATTATTGTAGCTCCAGATATAAATTTTAAGATCTTTCAGACAGTAATCACAAAGTATAGAGACATAAATTATTTACAACTAAGCCTACATTGCACTAAACATCCCGTCAGCTAACATTAAGTTATTCCCGCGACTTCGCCTGCGTAAATTATAGCCTATGTCAACCGCGTATGATGTAGCTTCCCGCAAGTGAAAGAATTTTAAAATCAGACCAGTAATTTCAAAACTTTTTTGATGCAAATAAGGAATTATTAGTATAGATATTCAACCTTGTACACTCGACGGATGATCAGTCGCGTACATACTGTAAAATACTTGACGAATCTTTCGTTAGATTTGGGCCAACCCTAAAAGTTGTTATATTATATAAACACTTCATTGATTTAATACCTACCTAATGGACATAAAGGTATATAAGGGCATTGCCATTTGAACGGAAATAACAAACTTGAAACTGCTTCAGACACGGCTGTCAGTGTATCTGGTCTGCAAATACAAAAACATGTCACAACTAAGAATTCTTAAATATGAATAGAAAGACAAAAATTGACTAGAACAGAGAAAGTTATCTAATAAAATACCTGAGCGAATGTATTAAAATTTTCTGTTCGGTGATGGCCAATGCTAGTATCAACAGACAATTGTCAGGTCCGAGATTCAATAAAAGTTGCCTGAAACCTGCCCCGCTGCGAACTAAAGGCTGGTCGTCACGTCGCGTCACTATCACACGGTCACTGGCATTTGTCGGTGAAAGCTGTTAAAAAAGTTACTAATTTAACCAAAAAAATTTAGACCTAAAGCGTTTACAATATCTAGCTGTAGTCAAAAAGGTCACGTTCTAGATTTTGTGTGTCAGTCGCCAAGATTGGATTTTAGTACACTACGTTATACATATAATATGTAACACATTCGTATGAAATAAAAAAAAAGGCAAGCACCAACTAATTAGGCATTTCGTTTGTGCAAAACAGAGTGGTAAGTGTTAGTTTTACGTTAACGCGTTCACTAGTGAGCGCGTTACTAAAAATTTGTATCGAGGTTTGTAGTTCTTGGTAATTACCGCTAGGGGCGCTGCTCTGTATTCCATACCAAAATAGTAAATAAAAGTGTAAGTTTTTTTTTAAATAAACTTTAAAAAAAAACTTAAACTTATTTTTTTACCAATAAAGAATACTACTGAAATTTTGTATAATGCAGTCGCACAACCTTTATACAAATTACCTGCAGTAATATTCTGGGTTCAGGGAATGGTACTTCTTCTAGTAAATGTGTTATGTACCTTTCTACTGGTATACTTAAAGGTTGTTTACTCCAAGACATTTCCTGTAACAGATGTTAAAAATTATAAAAGATTCGTCGAAATTAATTATTTGATTGAATAAATTATAGTTAATGCATAAGTACCAGTATGTACAGCAGCCATCTTTCAAAAGTATCACTGAAGGGCCACCGGGATAGTAAACAAATACATTTATTGATGTGCACTGAATGTGTATTGTGGGATACACCAGCCCTCCAACCGAGTTGATCCATTTGAGACTCCGAAAGCTGTGTATGAGGATAACTCTCGTAGAACGTTACTGCTGATCCGTAAACCTTTAACAATTGCATCACAATATATTATTATTTTATCTTAGTCAATATATGTATACATTTGTGCATTAACAACCAAGTAAATAGTATGGGTGATTTTAAATTAATTCAAAAATCCTTGTTGCGATCGGTAAACGATACAGATACAGGACTAACTAAAAAGAAACGAACTGTTTTTTCGCGACTACGTGTTAATGGCTCTGCAGGATGCTATCACACAGATAACTCATCGATTTTGTTAAGAATATACTTTTTTTATTCAAGAAACTATATATGCGCCATTAGAGAGACTCGCAAAATCTGCATAATTAAAAAACAGTGCCTGATAGTCTTTCTTTTTAGTTGCAACGCGCCAAGTCTGCATCAGTCAATGTACTTACCATCAGTTAAAAACCCAAAGTAAGTGACAGAAACTGTTCCCAATTGCATTGCGTCAGTATATTCATGAGTGCCAAAAATATTCTTTATATATACTCTTTTTTAAATTAAAAAATAAATATATCTTGGAATTGGATATCCGTACTATTATAATTACCTTAATATTATTTCACGGAGAAGTGGTTACTTCATACAATATTTTTAACCTGTTTTTAAAGTCGGAATAATGTGTAACTTTTCCCCTGTTATTATATTAGTCATTAAGACCTTTCAGAGAATTATAAATAGGTTATATCGGACTGATAATATTTATAAACATAGTTTAATATCTATATTTATCAGTTTTTACCAGTTTTATAGGTAAACTTAATAAGTCAATATTTTAAGTTTTAATAGTAAAACTTAAAATGTTAACTTATTAAAAATAATTGAAAGATAAATTGTATTCAAACTGCTCCAGTCTAATTTATACAGTCTACAATTATTTTGTAAGTACATATAGGAAAAAAAAAATTACCTTATCTGTAGCATCAGCAACCGTCAATACGAAGGTGGAAAATACCGGTTTGGGCGTTACAGCATTATTAGGCCATAATTCAAGAGTAGCGCCCATCGGTAAGCAAAATAATGGCACTGACGTGGGAAACACTAGACTTCGCCGATCTATCGTTGGATACCTGAAGTTTAAATAGTTCTAGCTATACTTTTATTTTATTAGTTAGTGGATCAACTTTTGCAAGCTTAATTGGGCCTAATTCCCGTTTTTCTATTGAGCCGAAATTTCGCATACATCATATAACTTATACAAGAATGTAATATTAATATGGAATGAACTGATCTAATGATGAAAGCTAAAGGTAGCCATGGGACCTCTATTTGAACAAAGCAATTCCATCTAGTTTGGGTTCATTTGATTTGTCTTAACAAGGACTTTGGTCCGACATATGGGTCTGATCATGGAACTGGAAGGTGACCATTGGAACTTTATAATAGGAACGATGACTAATTTTTATATGCCTTGCCGTTAGGTAAATTATTGAATAATATTAAACGTATTTTTTTCGTAATGAATAAATTACGACGATACATTGAGTTTAAATGTCGCATGATATCACACCTCTGTACATTTCCTACGTTGTGACGTAGTAAGTTTTAATGCCTATTATCTATGCCAATTTCTTATTAAATTGAAGCAAAAACAAAATGCGTATCTAATATTTTTCTATTATCTGACTGACAGATGAAATATAATTTTTTTTACCCAGGCATCAGCCCTATGAAACAGGATAACTCGTAGAGTTTGGGTTCGTTTGAATTATCTTTGTATGGCCTCTTGTCCAAAAAAAAACTATATTTTTTAATAAATTTGTTAGTTTTGAATTATTATATTGCTTTTTCTGTGTTCTTTTACTTATATGATTTTTATGACATTTATAGAATTTCAATTGGTTAAATGTGTTGTTTTAATATAAATTCGTAAATAATAACCAAAACTATTCCTTGTAAACACGAAGGCTAACGTTACAATTTAACATAAAAATCTTCATGATTTTACTGACAATATTAATATAAGAATCTCACTTAAAATAGGTGAGCTTAAAACCAAAGGAACCCTACGTCAGCAGCCACAGCATTGCGGTATTAGAAAGGTGGTCAATTAGTATCATTCGATGAATTATGAAACATTACACTTCTTGTACTACATCAAACGAAACACAACACAATGCAATATATGAAATAAGCTCAAAATTAGTAACATTACCACTCACCTAAATAGTACTTCTGGTTTGTATGCTATTAGAGGCGGACGGTTCATTGACTTCTTATAACATAGAAATACATCGCTGCCCATTAAACCTGCAATTTAAAACAAATTACCGCACTTAACTTTTGGATAAGGTATTAGAGATCAATTCAAAATATTTTGATACTTAGATGACATTTCTGACATATCTCATCTTTCTCAAATTAACATTTAAATATAATTTAAAAAAGTAAATCCTGCAGTAAAATTATAAACGATTAATACACATTTTACACTAGCTTCCCGCCAGCGGCTTCACCCGCGTGGTCTTGTATTATATATAAAACCCTTCCTTTAGAATCACCCTATTAATGAAAAATAAAAACCGCATCAAAATCCGTTGCGTAGTTTTAAAGATTTAAGCATACATAGGGATATAGGGACAGAGAAAGCGACTTTGTTTTATAATATTTAGTGATAAAAGATGTCATAACATCCATAAAATTGTGTATTTTTATTTTTTACTAGTTTTCCGCCAGTGGTTTCACCCGCGTGGCTTCTAGGGAACTATTTAGTGGGATAAAGTATCCTATTATCTAAGTCAGCTAATACCCTATCTGTATACCAAACTTTATCAAAATCCGTTCAGAAGTTTCGGCGTGATTAACGGACGAGCATCATTAATACGATATAAAATGCATGAGTTCCATTTCAACATCCGAACGAATAGCATTGTCTTTAAAATATCTTTTTATTTTAATTTAATTCTGTTCAGTAACGAGTGTTTCAGGATAACCGAAAAAGTGTAAAAATATATATTGAGTTTAATGTGAACATGCTAATTTAAATTTTAAGGAAAAATCAAAAACTAACCGTTCCCACTTCACCTTCATACTACTTCATATTTTTTTCACTTGACAATTTTTTACCAATAACGTATTTATTCCTGTGACGATAGTTAATATTGAAATTTTACGGTAACCTAATTTTTTTGTGTGTGTACCTCATCTTCATACTGACCTTTATTTAAATTCTTTGCGATCATACAGAAGGCGTGCGGCGGAAACTCGCCTTTGCTAGCCACAATAACACATACGTCCACTACCACGAGTGCGTTGCACGGCGCGGTGGGATGTGCCCTCCTGTACGTTATGAATGTCTTTGCTGTTGAGTTATTCACGTTAGCTAACCGTTCACCGACGGACATCAAAACCATTTCCGCGTCAGCCATAAGTCGCTCCTTGCCTTCGTACATAACCCCTAATAAAACCAAAAGTTTATATAAACACGGATTCAATTCACCTGGAATGTGATGACTGGTGATTATGAAATATTGACTGCGACCTTAAGTCGTATATTATGGAGCTTATATAATGAGCTAGACACAATTATTATGGCTTTTAGTCGAAAACCGGTATGTAAGGATTATTTGATGCTTCGTAATTGATATTAATTACATATAATATAATCGTATATTAAGATTTATACTGATACGAGGGTCAAACTGAAAGTTCTTAGAACTGGCCACTTATAAACAATATAATAAAAAAATAATTCTAAAATTTGAAAATATAACTCTTTGCCAATATTACTGAGTATATATTTCATTCATTTGTCATTTGTTTTACGATTTGGCGGCAAATTGAAAATTGTCTGTGTCACGTCATCATGAATTTAACACGAGAAAATTTTCGTGCAATGATTTTTTATGACTTTCGATGTCATTTAAGTCAACAAGAAAGTTATGATAGACTACGATTGGCCTTTCACGATGAAGCCCCATCTCGTGCGACTGTTTACAACTGGTTTAATGAGTTTAAACGTGGTCGCACTAATCTCACTGATGATTTACGTGAGGGACGGCCTTCTACGGCGACGACTGAAGATAACATCTGTGTTGTGCGGCGTATGATAGAGACTGACAAAAGAGTGACCTATCAACAGATTCGGACAAGCTTAGGCATCAGTATGAGTTAAGTGCACAAAATCCTCCACGAACATTTAGCGGTCAGGAAGCTTTGCGCCCGGTGGATACCTCATAATTTGACTGAGGCTCAAAAACTCCATCGTGTGGATTGGTGTCGTAAAATGATTGAAAGATTTAACGGAGGTGACTCAAATGCTGTGTTCGACATACTAACAGGTGACGAAAGCTGGATTTACTGTTATGATCCTAAAACCAAAAGACAATCTGCTCAGTGGGTGTTTCCTTTCGAGGAGTTGCCAACTAAAGTGAAGAGAGATCGAAGTGCGGGAAAAAAAATGGTGGCTTCGTTCTTTGGAAGGATAGGTCATTTTGCAACAATTGTGTTAGAGGATCAAAAAACAGTTTCTGCAGAATGGTACACTACCAATTGTTTGCCACTTGTCTTGGAAAAAGTTCGAGAGAAACGACCTCGCAGTAGGATCCTCCTTCACCACGACAACGCCTCGTCGCACACCGCCAAGCGAACGATCGACTATTTGGCGACATCAAACGTTGAATTACTGGGTCACCCGCCGTATAGCCCCGACCTCGCGCCTTGTGATTTTTATTTATTTCCAAAAATTAAAGAAAAACTTAAAGGAAAGCGGTTTATGAATGCTGAAGAAGCGGTGGCTGCGTATCGCGATGCCATTGAAGAGACCCCTAAGGACGAGTGGGCAAAGTGCTTTTCCCAGTGGTTCCATCGCATGCAGCGGTGTATTGACGTGAATGGACAATATTTTGAAAAGATATAATAAAACTAATAACTGGCTAATGTAATCAGTTTTTGATTTTCTAAGAACTTTCAGTTTGACCCTCGTATAAATTATTCTTATTAAACGAAACAACCCTATCGAGTGTGTCTCGTTTGATTTTTCTTGTGAATGACTTTGGTTCGAGATAATATATGTTTGATGATTGAACTAGAAGGTGGCTATAGGAATTTTGTAATTAAACAACGTAACTCCGTTTAGTCTCAGCTCGATTAATTTGTCTATACAAGTTCTTTGGTTCAACCAAACTTGTTATTCAAACTATTTATTATTTTGTGTAATATAAAAAGTAAATACAGCATACTAGTGAATACCAGATAAAATATAACTTCGGCTTGTATGTTTCAAATTGATATATATTGTTTTTATATTCAAGAGCAGAACAACCGGCAACTGAGTCAAGTCCAGACGGTGCTCGACAATATTCGTTAATAAAAGCACAGAAAAAAATAACTAAGTTTATTTCAAAGGCACCGGAATGTTGACGGATTTTATTCGACCGGAAAGCTATTGATATAAGAAGATAACAAAAAACGCATGCCGCCGTGCCCCCGCGCCGCCGCGTCGTAGCTTGGCTACTGTGTTATCAGCTTATCACTAGCCTGCAATTTTTTTACTAAATATGTACCTACGTAGTACGTTGATGCGTACTGAGTAATAAATAATACATACTATATGGATGCGTGTTATGTTATTATTGATTTTTTTGTTAGGTATAAATAGTTAATGAAAGCCGTAAGGTAGTGAATAGTCTAGCGCATTATACGCTAAGAAATATGTAGCTGACCTATAGACTGATGAAATAAATTTGTTCAAAGTAATTGATTACCCAAAAATGGTTATAATTGGTGGACTTTAGAGCAAATTTATAAACGAGTAACTTTGTTTTATTTTATTTATTAAAAAAAAAATTGTAAATCACTTCATTATTCAACACAGTTTATTTAATTTTTATTCGTAGTCCGTCTCAAATTAGTGATTTTCGTTTAGGCGCCCATTTAAATATTTTCTTAGCTTGATATTTCTGATATTTCGAACATTGAATTTGAAGAAACAATTGTTTCTTATATATTTAACGGTTTGTTTCATATACTAATTATTATGAAAATTTACTGAGTTTATTCTTTTTGGATAAAATTAAAGTTATAATAACGTTAAATTAAAAATTCAGTTCTTTAAGCCTATACTCCAATTTTCTATATAAATTATGTATTATTATAAATTAAAGTGAAATTCAGCGATTTACAAGGCCACACTTCGAAGAAGTAAAATAAAATGTAGCTAATTAAAATATTTAAGAAATGTTTACAAACTAAATCCAGCGGTTAACTTTGTGATAAAATCTACGAACTGCTGTACGAATCTATAAATGAAAACATATGACATAACACGGAAAATCCTCTTATCGCAAATGCTTCAGATTATATAAGCCGATTATAGATTAGCTTTTAACACATAGGAACAGAGTTTAATTTTAACTAAAACCTAGTTTGAGATAGTCTAAGAAATTCTAGGGCTAAGGTATTGTTTAGTCTGTCTGTAGCGAATGGCAAATACCCATGTTTCATAATGGCACTGTTTACATTACTATACTTGTGATATTAGAGGGTTAATACGTCAGTTGTTGGTAATTCCCGTAATTCATATATACAAATTATTTTGTAGAACTTTGATCGGAATAGTGGTTAGTTGTGAATGTTACTCCCCCATGCGATACGCAAATTCAAATTCTCTAATTCGGGATATAGCCTTCTTAGTAACTATAAAACGATTACCTACATCTATTATTAAATGAAATATAGACATTTCATTCACAATGAACTTACGAACGTTAATAACAAAAGTAAATGTACTAAAGTTATTTACTTTTATTTCAAAATTTGTAACTCACCGATATCAACAAGTGGGGGTCTATCCCTGCCCCTTCGTATGCAAAGGAAACACTCAGGGGATCGCATAGAGCCATGATTCAGGTCTGCTACTAACCCAGTAGGAGTCAACTCAATGAGCTCATAACCATTGGGCACTGTCTCACCTAAACCAGGAAATACTACACCTGAAACAAAGATATCATATTTTAGAATAGGCTCAAAGAAAGTTTGATTCACACCACTTTGGTCTGGAAAACCCTTCATCGCGAAATCTAACACTGAGGGACAGCAAGGAAGAGTGAAAAAAAAGTATTAATTTACGACTAGCTGAACCGGCGAACTCCGTACCAGATCACAATTTATTAAGTGTCAAAGTTCAATAAAATTAATTTCTGAACGCACTACAAATAATTCAAAACCAAAATTGGTCTACCTGTTCTTGAGTTTTAATGAGACGTTTTGTATGTGATATAAATTATAAATTAAAAAGGCTGAACCTTTAGAATCATCGGGACATTAAAAAACAGAATACGTGGAGCTTAAACTGCAATTACAGCTAGAAGGCAATTTCATTTCGTGATATTCGTGTGGCAGTTCACACTTTTTAATAAATAGACAACAATAGACAAGATATATGTTTCTTCCAAAGGTCTCCACTTAATTATTATATAATTATAATTTTTTCCTGTATAAATAAATAAAAAATAATAATTTCATAATTATTAACGCAGATCAAGTTGTTATTAAATATTACTATCAATAGCAGACAGCGTAACAATTACTCGTTGTATCGTAAAAGAAAACAATAGCTGCCCCCTTGATACAATGATGTCTATATCGGGCAGAGAATTTTAAGTGGCAATGAACTTATCTTTGGTCAGTCAATACATCAATGATAGGCGCCAATAAAAATATGAATCATGTGGGGAGGTTAATCAAATGCTCTTGTAATACTCATACAAAAGGAGGCATGTTCGAGAGTACTCATACGTTATAACTTATCTCTTATTAATCTAAGTAATAGTGTTGCTATGGATGTAAAATTATGATGTTACAGTTTAAAATAAGTATATTTGTATGATCTAGAATTTTATATTGAACACATTTAGTACGGTTGCAATCATACAAAGATATGCGAGGTACTGAAAAAAGTAACGTGCCGTGAATTAATAATTTTCAAATTTTTCAGAAAGTGCTTGGACGCGCGCCGATTAAAGTAGAAAATTTTGAACATAAGTTATGACTTATGTTGAAAATTTTCAACTCTAATCGGTGTAAAATATCATATATATAAGTTGGCTGTGTAAAAGCTCCAATATTAACATTTTACTAATTATGACGAGTAACATGATACACTGAACCGAATATCCCATAACGAATGTCTACCGCGTCTGTCCAAACGTCCAGTAGGTATTCTGCTAATGTTGGCGTACTTTAAATCCGGGTTTTTCCTTTAATTATTAATATTTCTAACGATTTCGCTAGAAGTATAACTTCAATATTTGCACATTTCGTGGCCACACCTTTAATGCACTGCATTGGCAGTTTAGGTGATCGTGTCCTATTTTCAAACTTCGGAACATTTAATATACCTAAATTACCTTATTTCGTACAATTTTCTAGATAATAATTAGTATCCTTAAGTAAATTTATTTGTGATTCAAATATGTGAGGAATTATATGCTTGTAGGGAAGATATTGCACTTATAATATTGAACTTCAGGTAGATAGTAAAATGAAAAAATGGGAGTAGTTGAGATTATATCGAGACCCAAGATAATGATGTCGTCCAAACTCAATATCGCGTTCATTTGTACAAACTAAGGTAATAATATCTTACGGAAATAAGTCATTAATGACTTGCTCCGTCAGCGGTGACCTGGTATACTTGGAGCAAGGCAAAACCAGTTTCATTCATTAATCTTATAAAGACTGTGTAGACAGGCTTGTCATGATCATTTCCAACATACACAAAAAAGCTTGTCAATGTAAAAATTTCTTATCATTGGGAAAAGACAACGATTCGTTGTATGCATCAGTAACCTAAATACACGTTTTTAGACCTGATAGATACAAAATATAAATCAAAGTAATTTTGTTCTTACCGATAGAGATTTACATGACAATTATAACACAAATTTAACGTTTATACTTTGATGAGACTGTTTATTTTACATCAAAGATTATATTGTTATTAATGCCTGTAGAATTTATCCACTGATATAAAAAAACATATGAAGTATTCATATTAAAATAACATAATATACTGAGACCTAACTCCTATAAAGAATGTCTTCTTTGCGGCTAATATTCCTAAGTAGCAGTGTGAATATTCAATCAGAGAGTGCAGACAGTGGATTTTATCGAACATAGCGAAGGGCTGGTATATTTTTTGAATCTAATATAATATTTAATATAAAAAATTTTTAATGGAATTTAATAAAAGGAAACTAAAAAATATAAGGGATGAATCCTTAAAACAATGACAAATTTCTTTTGTATTTTGATTGTCATAATATCTGTAAAGTGCAACATAGTTTAGGATTCCCCGTATTTTACCAATTGATTCGACAACGACGACATTTCATCGATCTAATAATTCTACTCAAAAGATTGACTTGTTCTTTGTATCCTAGTCTTATCATAATAGCCTAACTTATCAGACCTGCGGATAACAGCGAAGCAAGTCAACGCAAGTCTGACACTTTGTAGGTAGCACGGTCTTCTATACAAACGCACGAATAAGCACACAGTAGTAATGTATGCAGTGTTTTTTTTTTTAACCGACTTCAAAATCGAATAGGAGGAGGTTATATGTTCGACGGCGATGTATGTTCTTTTTTATGTAGTATCTTAATCCCGTGCGTTTAAACCACAGAACACTCTTTTCCGTATTCTGTAATTTCAAATGTAGTATGGTCTCGGTTGAAAAGATGCGCGGAATTTAAAATCACGTCGTTCATTCTGTATCAAAAAGGTTTAGTTCAGTTAAAAATGTCCTTCAAAACTTTAATCATATCTCCAATGTAAAAATTCAAGCATGAGAGTACAATAAGATTAAAAATTCAATATTTTTTTATTCTGTATAGGGTGTCGAGAAGCTCTTGGAAAAGTTGAAGTAGTAGGTACGCCATGTGCCACAAATGTATGACCTTCCATATTATTTCATAGAATGATCAATTAAAAAAATGGTACAAAAGTATGATTTTTCACCCTCTTCTAATATTAGTTTAAAAGAAACATGGGACAATATTACGCTGTCTACAGTGCATGCTGTACTCTTAGTTTACACGAAAACTTCAGAAGATGGACCAAGAATTTATTTTTGAGTTCTGAATATAGAAAAAGCACAGCATTTGAATCTACCAATTTCAATACTTTTTAAATTATCTAGGTAATACTATAAGAATAATCGATTTCCGACACTGACTAGGCTACAACGACACTGCATTTTAATGCAATTCTAAAATTTTACAGTATGTAATATACAAAGTGCTTCTATGAAGGTTCTTTGTTTTTAAAGTTACTTATGGGGAAGCACGGCTTTATAATAAACTACCTCCTGGCATTAAGGATGTGGATGCTCTCTGTGTTTTCAAATCTAGACTACAGAAGTACATTTTAAATGACACATGACATTGCCCATGTCAAAATATAATGTATTATGTTAAGTTCTCATTATAAATGACATATATGTCTTTTGAGAATAAATTCTATAAACTGAATGTGTTTTATTAGGATTTATTATGATTTGGGCTTGCTTTCTTGGGCTGTAAGCAGTCAGTAAGCCAAAGAAAGATTTCTGTTTTCATGAAATTTAAAGAAAAACCTTTTATGAAGACTTATTTGCAAGGCTGTAAAAATTAAGAAACCTTTACTTTCTTTTTATTGATAAAGGGTACTTCATTTTTATCAAGAAATAAGATATAATTAGAAAAGGAATGGATTGCAATTATGTTTAAAAGACTATTTAACTATAAACAACATTTAATATTGCATGAAAAAAAAACTGAGATGAATTCTGAATAACCATACAGTACAATATCCAAAAGCTTAGTGAGGCAAGTTAATCATAGACACAACAACACAGAGTTAATTTATTCTTCTAAATATATGTAATGAATACATTAGTATGCCATATTATGCTTCAGTTTTTTTTATTATTTAACAGTAATATTGGACAATTATAAAATATTGTGAAAATGACAGTAGCTTTCTGATTTTGAACACTAAAGTTTTATTTATTTACTGTTACCCACAAAAGTTTTATTATTAAAGTAAAATAAGATTTGTATGCTAATAAGTACTGGAAATACTTAAAGATATAATAGATCATATACTAAGTAAATTATCATAAAATTTTCAGTATATTAGAAATATATTAAAAATATTACATACAATATCATGTGTACTTATAGACAGGAAATAAAGGTGGCCCTTGTTACTTTAGAAGGCCATATAAAAGAATTAATAATAAACAATGTTTAAGCAAATGAAGTGATGTAACCATTACACAGCATAAATATTTACACACTATGCTACTAATTTATGGATTAGTTGTCTTTAAGAGTATGTACATTACCATTTACAAAAACATAGTGATGCACAAATACAGCAAAAAGTTTGTGACAGTAATATTAATTAGCAATCTAGGCAGCCAATTAGATGGTGACATTTTATAGGCCACTTCCTCTTTTACATTATTACAAACAATTTTATACAAAAAGTTGGTAGAACTAAATATAAAACTAGCAAATTGTAAATATTGTATTTATTACTTTTTATTTTTAGATACTATACTGTCTGGGACTGTATTATAGTGCCTATATTCACTTATAGAAGCACACAAACAAGATAAATATCCAACTGTGGCAATTCTTTAAACCAACCACTAATCTATTTTCTAATTTCAATTTGATTTCATTTAACACTATCCTACTGTAACATGTAAAGTGAGAAGTATATATAGGAAAATTAAATTATAATAAAGTTATTCCTATTATCTTATTTGTTTACAGAATTGATAAATGCAACTTGTCATAATTTTAAACTAAATTTAGTTTATGCCAGCAGAATTAGCACCAATATAAAAATAAATACTTACCTATGTCAGTGATGGGAGGTTTGGTACTATATCCTTTTAGATGTCCAGAATCAGAGTCATCTAGCAGTTCAGGTTTCTCTGGCAAGCCAGCTACGACAAAATAGTCAGCAACTCTTCTTTCCTCCATTCTAACGACGAGTTAGGAGTACCTGAACAACAAAACCAGAGAAATTCACGGTCACTGCAACACGATAACCTTTACAAACCAATGTCTTTTTTACCATATTACATATTTTAGATATTCTACACAAGGCGCAATCAAGCGAAGACGAAACAAATTACTGGAAATTCAAGATCTAAGTTAACATTAAAGCAGGTAACGTACAAAATTCAGAAAAAAATAGAAACAAGAAGCCCTTGAACTGAACTTACAAATTATGTCAACATTAAAAACATCGACCGTAAGTATGGACGGCTGTAACATACACCATTCACATTCTATAATTATTATTTGTTAATTATTATTAATTTATTGAATATCTTAGTTTATTTATAGAGCACAGTTATTACTATACCGATTCAATTTTTATTTTTGTTCTGATTTTCACGAAACGTCATTGCACAGATTTTTTAAACCCACAGATTAATTAAAAGTACCGTGCCGAGATCCCAGGGAGTAATCGAGTTAGAAATAAGCGATAATAATGAATACCTATTTCAAACGTAGTAATAATATAACAGGACTTTTGACACTGAAACATTGTCATTACGAAAACGAACTTCAACTATACCGATTAAAGTATACTTTTCATTGTTCCTTTTACAGAAGCTAACTCGAGCTGAAAGGGATAGTCACAACAGAGGCCGCATATCGCCATTATAAAAAAGATCGTTATATAATTAAAAATTTTAACTAAATTAACTTCAGTGGAAACAGTTCAGTAATTAATGGACAGCCCCTAAGGTAATGGTGAAGATTGATTTTCTTTCGAGGACGGCTCAGGGATCTGCTTTTCAGGTCGGGTCTCCAGAAGGGCTTCTTCCACTTGGGTGCTATTATTACGAATCGACCACGGGCTGTGTTCAAGTGACTGAGTACTCAAGGTATTAAGCCTGGTGGCGCGAAAATCCATGCCAATTCGTAGATCCTGCTGAAGGCGTCGTGTAAGCATGCGTTCAAGTCTGATAAGTCTAGTGTAGCATAATTCTGCACGACGTGAGCTGTCTGAGAAGCGAATAGGTCGATTTCCAGCACTCCACTCCACTCTGAGCCGTTTTGGTTTCTCGCGAGGTGATCGGCTTCAACGTCGTATATTCCTGGTAGGTTATATGGGAGTAGTATAGGTAATATTGAGGTTGTTTGTTAGGGTTAGCAACTTCTTTGTCAGATCCTATATTTTTTTGATGTCGTTCCACCCTCGTTTTTTATGTAAGATTGATGTTTTGATTACTGTTTTTCTGTCTGTTTCGTGGCGTGTGCTGAAATCGCAGATATCACCGCGTACATTTCTTTCATATTGCAGTGCCAAGATTTCTGATTATTCTCCTGATTATTATGATGGGCCCCTGTATACTGATGTTGTTGACTAGAGCACCCCATTGGATATCCGTATTTGTAACAGGTTTCGTCAGATGGATGAGTGTTTTTAAATGTAGATTCTCCAGCCACCTGGAATGGTGGCTATATGAATACGTCGGTGGTGAGTTGACAACGTCTGCGCATGGCACGGCTGCGCGAAGCTAGCTGTGACGCTGCAAAATTCGGCAATGTAACCTTCCCCGGTGGATGATGAAGGAAGCAAATTTGAGGTTCTCTAAGAGACATTGCGCCTACTTGAGGGTCCAACTGCCTGCAGCAAGTCGAGTCAATAAAATCTGGCGCAGCTTCGCCAGCTTTGTCAGTGGAAGGGATTTCGTATTGTGGTGAATATCCCAAACGATTCCAAGAAATTCGATTGATTGTGTAGGTTTTGTGATCGACTCTTCTTTGTTGATTGACCAGTCTAGATGAGTTAAGAATTTATGGCAGTTGATACGTGAGTCTCTAAGGCCTTTCTGTTCTTGTGAACCAACAAAAGTCGTCGAGATATACTACAAGGCGCATCCCCATTTCTAGTATCCTTTCTGAAACTCAATTCGTCACTGACGCGAATAACCGAGGAACCGTTGCAGCTGACGCGGAGATAAGGTATCGACCTTATCTCTGGGGTTATTGGCAAATGAAAGTAAGCCTGGTGGAGATCTAACTTCATAATCCAGTTGAATGGTTGAAAAAACTCGTGCATGTGATGGTGATTGAAGAGACGAAATGGTTTGGGGTCCATGAAACGATTTCAGGCTTTCAAGTTCAAAATTATGCGGGACATTCCGTTTGATTTTATAATGAGGAACATCGGTGACATGAAGAAGTGTCAAAGGAGCTATTTCCAAACCCTCTTCTTGATGAGTATATTTATCCCTTGCGAATCTAGAGTTTGAAATTTTTTCATTAGTTATAAGCTTGACAATACCAGAAAACATTTGAAAAGAATTCGAGTTCCGGTTATTAAGTTTAATATCGTTTTCGGTGGATATAAACGGGACCAATTCTTGTGGAACGACCTCAAACTTCACCCCGTAAACCGTAGTTTTTACTAATATGCTTTGCTTTATTTTATTAGATTTCCTCGACTTATATTGAAACATAAATCTTCAATTCTCAACTGACTCGATTCGTCTGATTCGTTCAAATTGTTATTTATCTGCTGTGTTTCCATATTCCATTATGCATTACGTTTTTGTTGATTGTTGAGTTTTTGAGATTGTTGATTTTAAAATTTTAATAAAATAAACTATATATATAAAGATAAATCTGATGTTAGTCTTACTGTCTGATGGTAGTCAAACCCTGAATATTTTGGTGATTAATATTAAAATTAGTAGATTTGACCCTTAAGTTTAAAAATGAGTTTTTAAATGGATATAGTAGAAGTACTATTTAAGTTAGTAAAATTACTAACACTAGTTAGACTGTCATATCAACTATAACAAAATTTTGTAATAATCACGTTTGTAAATTGAAAACTAACAGAGTAGCTATACGAGTCTTATTTAAATTTGCTATATAATTTAACACATAAATACTTAAACTATTTTAAAGAAACTGATTTCATTCGATTAGTTTACTCTCAGGTTGTCAAATTGTAAAATTCTATCGCAATAACTTTTTGTCTTTTAATATTCAACCTCAGACCAAATAAAAAGTAAAGACGGAGCCATGACGGAGCTCGCTGAATAACAAAGTGAAGCCAATTTTTAGCAATTGTAGTGTGCGTGACGGTGTGACCATAGTCATTAAAAACACCCTAATAACTTAACGTTACGACGTTATAGAGTTAACGTTAACGCTATGCTATTTAATAATATAATGTAAATTCGTTTGTCAATATCAGCATAGATATTCTATAATTTTTAAGAGTAGGTAATTATTATTCGAGGCCATACATTAGAGAGACTATAAAATTAATAGTTAAGTTTAATTTGAAAACTTCCACTATGTTAACTAAAATTTTAATATATAGAAAGTTTGAAACCTTCGGATATAAGTTTTGCTTTATTCGACATAACCCTTTTATAGTATAATACATATCATCGCTCTTAAAATGAGTCGAACAAACTACGCTGCGCGAAGTTGGATTCGATGAAGGTTCATTTCGACTATTACAAATGACTGAAATCCACTTCTCTTTCACATTTTGATGTCGGTTTGAAAATGAAAAAATGTATGCAAACCCGTTTAGTAAAAATAAAGAAGTAAAAAATTAAACCCGTTTTTTATTTTTTACTTCCTTATTCTAACACTTCAATATCTGTGATCCTGGACCTCTATGTAGTATTTCAAGTGCAAAATTTATTAAATATCACTTCCATACAACAAGAAAAAAATATATAACGTAATTTGTGTTTTGTTAGAAATAACGCGTTATAAAATTATAGTTACCTGATTTCGGGGTAAATAATAACGTTTAACGATGGTAATATTTGGCTGAGGTTTTGTGTTCCCAGCAATTACTTAAATTTAATTTTTAAATTACTGAAAATGTAAGTTTTCTCCAATACTTATGTGTGATTCCATTCTGCTTTTTATTTTTTGTGGATTGGTTTTTACAACCTTTTATAACACAATTCGGCAGTTAGTAAGAAATTTTTTTTTTTTTTTATAATGAAACGTTCCACACTTCCACACACTGTCTTTAGTTAGACTGATAAGGAAGGCGTAGTTTCGTTATGTACGTATGCGTGAAACTGTGTGCGAATACGCCGTGGCGTAGTTTTGTCGGCTTCACTTTTCTGTTAGGCAAAACTCCGTCTATACTTTTTATTTGGTCTGAGTATTCAACATCATTTCTTTTTATTATTCAACTTTCATAATTAAAAATTTTGAGTCAAAATTTGACTAATAAAAAAAATCGTTATGGATGTCAGTTCTTAAAAAAAAACATCTGCGAATAAGCCATTAATTAAAAAAGAAGAAGAAGAACATTTAAATCAACATATTATCGTATTAAATCGTATCAATGTATAATATAAAATTTAAATATAACTGTTGATAATGATTAAGAATGAGACTCATAATAATGAATAATGAAACGATATTCATTTTTTGATTGTTACAGTTTCTTTATTTTATCCTTATCTATAAAATTAATAAATCCATACTCAAGCTAGTCAGTATTATTAATTGACCCAAGCACCGAAACCGTCTTTTCACAGGGTGACTTTTTTGAAGGCCTTGAAGAAACTTTTTTTATGACCGGCATATAGGCGTTGGAAACCAGATGGAAGAAGTGCATAGAGGTAAGTGGAGATTACGTGGAAAAATAAAATTAATTTTGCTTATATTTTATACTAGTGGCCGTCAGCGACTTTGTCCGCGTTTTCCATTATTTCTTCGCTCCTAATAGTGAAGCGTGATGTTATATAGCCTAAATCCTCGATGAATGGTCTATTCAACACAAAAATAATTTTTCAATTCGAACCACTAGTTCCTGAGCTTAGCGCGTTCAAACAAACAAACTCTTATAATATTAGTATAGATTGTTTTCTTGCTGAGGCCGTGAACTTTTCAATCCGTATTTATTGTCAACTTAAATTTACTAATATATTTGTTAATGTCAAAATATAAAATATCATCACTTTGATGAGATATAAAATTATATGTATTTAAATTTAATTTATATATGCACTCATTTTGTTCTTTAGTGTAACTACATAAGGATAAGCACTAATTATCATTTTAAAATTTGTTACTGATTGAATTTTTAGCAACTTTTTAATGACGTGATACCTACATAATTTTAGTGAAACTATCCAATTCTTGTGGTTTTATTTTTATTAACAACGTTATTTAGACTCTGGACCTGACTGGATTGATGGAAATTCGGTCGAATCCGGCTGGATTGATAATTAATTTGCCAGGCTGTTTCCGTAGGTATAAATTTTCATATGCTTGTTAATGGGAGAAAGAGAATAAAATAATAATCTTATGTACTGTGAAAGCATGTCAGGTTATACAAGTGACATTTCTCCACTCGATACCTTATTACATTACCTATACTCCATTCATTATAACATTAGAAATAGAGGTTAATAGAAGCAGCAGCGCAGAACATTTTATTTTCAAGATAAATTTATATAATATGTATTAGTTTTGTTGAAACTTTGAACGTTAGGTAGTCTGAAAGAGCTGGGCAATTTTCCATTTTTTACGATACCTCGGGCTTGAGATGAGGTCAGCATTTTATAAATTCATCTTTTAGTCCCAAGCCAACATGGAAATAAAACTGAAACTATCTGTCTGTTGTTTTGATAAATTCTAATTGTGAGTGTAATTAGTTTGACTATAAGACATTGGAAAAACGTCCCTGAAATTTCAAAGGTTGAGGGTAGGTATTGGGGCTTAAAGCGTAATTTTTGTAGGCCACTCGGGCCTGCACCGGCATCGTCCATATTTACCAAAACTTAACAACAAAAATAAAACAATAACAACTTAATCACGGAAAACGCCAAAATAACAAGAAAGGCAGTAGCATTCACAATGGATGACAATCCCAGATTACGATGAATAAATAATAGTCAGACAAAATTAAAAAGCTGTACTACCGAAACGTTTGAAGCAACGTTTTAAATTTGGTAGAGTTATAGTGACATGAGAATCGTGCCGAAACTATCCAACCCTGCTTCTTTAGGTTCTTTACGATGAGCACTTTTTATTGTAATAGTTATTAAATCATTTAAGTTAGTCATATACTCATAAATTTGTTTAATAGATAGCTTAAATGACAACAGTTTAGTAAAGCAGCTGGTATTTAAGTGGATATGTAGCAAATTAGCAGTCAGTCTTAAAAGTAACATGATTATTGATATTCTGTCACATCATCATCTTTCATCATCAGCCGGAAGACGTCCACTGCTGAACATAGGCCTCCCCCTTTGAACGCCACGACGGACGACATTGCGCCAGCTGCATCCAGCGGCCGCCCGCGACTCCGACGATGTCGTCCATCTAGTCGGGGGTCGACCCACGCTGCGTCTTCCGGTTCGTGGTCTCCACTCGAGAACCTTTCGTCCCCATCGGTTATCGGTTCGTCGAGCGATGTGGCCTGCCCACTGCCACTTCAGCTTACAAACTTAGCGAGTTATGTCGGTCACTCTAGTTCTTTGGCGAATATCCACGTTTCGGATCCTATCGCGCAAAGAAACCCCTAACATAGCTCTCTCCATGCCTCGCTGAGCGACTCTGAGCTTCTCTAAGAGGCCAGCAGTTAAGGACCACGTTTCAGTGCCATAGGTCATCACTGGCAACACACACTGGTTATACAGAGAGATTGGTCTATAATTCTTCAACAAGGTCTTGTCACCTTTTTTGAAGAAGAGCACAACCACGCTTCTGTGCCACGCTTCTGGCGTCGTACCCTCGAGAATGACGGAATTGAACAATTTCTGGAGGACTAAGAGTACCGGTTTTCCACCCGCTCGCAAAAGTTCAGTAGTGATTCCGTCATCCCCCGGTGCCTTGTTGTTTTTGAGCTGTTTGAGTGCCATTCTAATCTCGTACAGGCTGATGTCTGGGATATCCTCGGTGTAATGTCGGGTCAGCTTTGCTCTGGTGTCCTGAGCATTGCTTTCAACGGGTTGTTGTGTTGATGTGTACAACTGTCTATAAAACCTCTCAAGCTCAATCAGAATCTCCGGTTTTGAAGATACGATTCTGCCGTCGTCGATCTTCAGCTTCGTCATCTGACTCGACCCAGCAGAAAAATTTCGTGCAAACACTTTGGAGCCTTGGTTCCGCTCTATTGCCTCCCTAATACGTGTAGTATTATAGGAGCGCAGATCGCGTCGCATCGATTTGGAAATTCGTCTGTTAAGTCGACCATATTCCGACATATCGGTTGAAAATTGCAGTCTCATATTCCTCCGGTCCGCCATCAACTTGAGCGTTTCGTCTGAGAGCTTTTGAGATTTAATACGGCGCGGGGCCTTATAGAACTTAGACCCCACAGCTTGGACTGTTTTTAGAAACCCGTTGTTTATTTCGTCCACAGACTCGCATTCAGCTAGACACTGAAAGCGATTGTGTAGTTGGAGTTGGAAGGCTTCAGGGTCCACGATATGAGCAGCACTAGGACGGAGCGTAGACTTCATCAGACGTGACCTTTCGAGCTTAACATTGATATTCAATGTGCCTCTAACGATTCGGTGATCGCTACCGGTTTTCACCCTGCTGATCACGGAGACATCATTGAAAATGTGCTTTCTGGTTGTCATGATGAAGTCGATCTCATTTTTTGTCGAACCATCAGGGCTCATCCAGGTCCACTTCCTGGAGGGTCTTTTCTGGAAGAAGGAGTTCATCGCAAATAGTCCCTCCTCCATGAAATCGATCAGCTTCTGGCCTCGGTGGTTGCGCCGCCCATACCCAAATCGACCCACCCTCTTATGAAAACTTTATGAAAAGTAAATATATGTTTGATCGCTTGCTAAAAACAGAAACATAAATTTTAATAATTGGCTCAATAGAAATATCACAGTACAGACTAAATATAACAATACATCAAATTTCAGCAATTGATTTTATTGTCTATACTCCATTCGTTATAGCATTAGACAGAAGTTAAATAAGGTTCGACTTTTTTTTAGCAAATAATAGCAGTCTTAAAATAACATTGGTAATTTCATCTCCTTCACACAAAACAGATTTTCCTTCATATTTATTCATTGATCATGCTGCTTACTCTGGAACTCTCTACCTGCCTTAAAAAATTAATATTCCATATTAATTAAAAAATTAATATTCCATATTAATTTTATTTAGGAAGTACACACTGACTACCTTACTGTATTTTTTTTTCTGTTATGGGCCTGCTGGTTGAAATTTCAATTTGATATAAGCAGTGCCATTGTACTAATGTCTGTTACATTTGTTAATGTAAAATTGTATGTGTGTACAAAATAAACAAATAAATGAAATAACCTGTCATGTCTGAAGTACTTAAAATAAGGCAAATAAAAAAGGTGTGTTTTTGTAACTTATGAATGTAATCATACATCAATGATAATTTCTTTTTGAGCTTTTGTGGATGGTGCTAGAGTATCACTCAGCTCCATCATATTCCTATTAGAAGTTATTTGGCCTGCAGATAGTAACATGCCAATAGCTCCTTCTAATTCGCTAACTTTTTTACAAACTTCAATTTCTTCTTTGATTTCTTGTTGAAGTGATGCATAAAGTAATAAGTTTGTGTCTGAAAATGTTTTAATTTGTGGCTCAAACACATCTACAAAAACATTTGCAGCATCTATAATTGTCCTAGTAAATCTTACTTCACCTAGGTTTCTCTTAAAATATTTTAATAATGCTCCAATGTCTTTTTCACTTAACCCACCCATAGCAACATTGAGAACTTTTCTTCGAAGCATTTCTTGAATTGCTGCTGCTGTTTTTTCTGGATATTTGGTAGCCACATATGTTTTCAATACAGCAGACAGTGCTTTACTGAATTCCATTTTCCTGATAAACTTATCATAATCACTCACTTTATTATTACTTTTGTTGTTGTCTACTGAATCAACAGTTTGTGTTTGAACATGATCTGGTGCAAACTTAAATAGACCTTTCTTTTCTTCTGATCTTGAGGTTGGCTTATCTCTTTTTCTTATAGATATAACACCATCAATCATACCAACAGCTAAGGTGTCATCATGATCAGATATGCCCATACTAAGAATAGCATTAGGGAAGTCAATATTGTGGACAACTTTAAATGTAGATATATCATAAATTTTGACATGTCTGTCAAGTGAGGCAGACATCAATCTGCTGTTGTTGCTTGCTAGTCTAAGGCATGTCACTGTTTTGTGATGTTGTGAAATGTTAGCAAGCAGTTTACCACCATTGAAGATATCCCACACTTTTATTTCTGTTCCACCAGCACTGATAAAAATGCCTCCAGATGGCAAAAATATTGTAGATTCTACAGGACTGCCATGATTGACAGTCAAAACAGTTTCATTTGATCTACAATCATAAAGTTTCACAACATGATCATAACCTCCTGATAGGAAAATATCTGGTGAAATAGGACTTGCAGCTCCAGCTCTCACATAGTCAGTATGTTCCGAAAAAGTTGAAAGTTTGCCCTCTGTTGCAATGTCCCACAAACAAACTGATTTGTCATCAGAAAAACTAAGTATTTTAACTTGATCTCTTGAGAAGAAAGTTCTATGGACCTGTAACAAATTTTTTGGTGTTAAAAAGTCAATAAACACTATTTCAGGTTATAATAGATCTTGGTCTTAATTTATTACTCATTTAATTCAACCTTTTTAAATATTAAAACTTATTCAATAAATAAAAAAATAATGAAATAAATTCACTCTATACTAAATAAGTACCATTATTCAACTTACTGGTGCCGTATGGCCCATAAACACACGAAGAACATTTTTAGAATTAACATCAAAGAGTTTTACAGCTGCATCTTCACTACCTGCCACTAACAGTCGGCCATCAGATCGAAAAGTAGCTCCATAAGCAGCCTCCACAAATTTTGATATATTTTTGGCTACAACTTTTGTAATGGGATCATAAATCTGTAAAATAGTTATCAATTTAATTCTGCAACAACAATTATACTATTTTAAATTCAAACAAATGTTTTAATTGGCAAGTATTTACAAAGTGTTGTGCATTCCTTTGTTAGAGTTCTAGTAATGCACATTGGAACTTAATATTTTAAATAACATGCCTAAATATACAATTACCTGCACTCTGACGGAACATGTTGCAGCAAAATAGTATGGTTCTATTGGGCTAAAGTCAATGTAATCAATAGCTCCAAACTCCTTAACTAGAACTGGTAGCTGCAAAAATCATATAGCATCAGGAATAATTTAAGGGTTCATTCATAGATATTTTCTTAAATGTGGTGTTTTCAGCACTTACCCCTAGTTTTTTCCAATAAATTGTATCCGAAGTATTAGTAGATGTTGGTTTCTGATAAACGGACTTGTTCGTACGTTTAAATGGGTATGATATATGGGCCATTTTCTCTTTAATAAATATTTATTTCTTGTTTATTTTCATAACACTCAGGATCCACTAACCATTAACTTTTGTAGGTTATCAAAAACATTTCATAATAAAGTTTGTGACAATTGACGAATTTGACAATTCATGTACTTTTTTAAAAGACAAAGAAATCTAGCCCTTACCGCCTAAAAACTTTGCTCGTGCTGAGAGAGCAATGAATGACATTACATTCATTCCTCGTTGGTTGATTGAGAAAGAATGCTATTAGCAGTGAGTCCGCCCTTTGTACCACAATTTTATTGGTCAATTATCTCTTTTAAACGAAATTGAAAAATAGATACTGTTACCTACTAAGGTTTGGGATGAAAATTAAAGACAAAGAGTAAGTATTAGAAACTACAAAATATTATATCACTAAATTGCAGCACATTAGACCAAAGATAATACAATATTCAGTGTTGTTATGGATCTGATAACTTGGATCAATATCGAGTTGAAATTTAATGAGGAAAGATATAAAAAAATTAGTTCCCGAAATTAATCTAGATGTCGCTACGGTACGTTCTTGACTTCTCCATGACAACCTTTCCGGTTTTCTTTCAAGTTTAAAAGTAAATTAGTTTTCAAAACTCAATAAACAACCCATATTCTATTTTTTCGTATTTGTATTATTCATATTCTAGCGTTATTTTTTTGTTATTATTCCGTTATTATTAAAGCATAGAAGTATTTTTAATATTATTTAATGTTGTATTACATCACACTGATCGCCGATAGATGGCGCTGATTGTTTTGTGAAACTCGGTATCGAGTCGTATTACAATAATGTATTTATAAACTGTCTGTTCATGTCGAATACAACATTTTGCCTACACTATCACAACCTGTCGTTTTATTCATAAACTAGGTTTGGTAGTAATAATTTTTGGGAGAATTGTACAGTATTGATATCTAAGTTTCGAACTTTTCAAATTTCAGTTTTTTAATATTTTAATTAAAAGGAACGGAAATGACTGTATTTGATCTATTCGTTTGCTGCAAAAATCAACTTTTACTGGAGATGTCATCTTGTGGAGGTGCTTTTTAGTGCTTTCTTTTTTTTAATAATTCCTCATTGATTTTCAGATCCTACAATTTGTGCCACCATCTAGTGACAATTTTTTTATTGTTTCTTTATTTTTTTAAATACTTAATATGTAATAGGTTTATCAATAAGTAACAAAGGTCATAAAAACAATAATTATAATAAGAAATCCGTTTAATATTATATATATATTACTTACCCGATATGTATCAAATATACTAGGTACTCGTATAAAATAATATGAGTTCTGGCTAGAACGTCGTTTGTGCAAAATACAATGTGCAAAAAATTTGTCCTCTCGAAATTAAGATTTTTTTTTACTAAGATCTGTTATTAAATATTATATTCTTGATTTTTCTTTGAAGCTCGTCAACGGATGCTGTCATCAATATACAATATTTTATTTATTTATTTATATACATTCGGGAATATCAACAGCACATGATTTTTATATGTAGACATCAAATTGCGTTACAGATGGCCAATAAAAGGTTTCCACGATTAGTTACAGTTATAGTTAACAATCAGAGTGAACATAGGTATCGTAAAGTGGAATTTCAGAACAGAAAAACATATTTGCATCAGAAAAAGAGAAAAAAGAAAATTACAATATGTATCGTAACCATCCAGACGTGACAAGTCAGACTGAAGATTTAAGGCATCAGATGTAGAAGATATCGCTTTAAAAATTTTCATATCATCTGCGCAACAGAGTAATTTAGAATGATGGAAGCATAATCCAATAGTAGGGGAGCCCAAGCGGGGATTTCGGGATTTACTAAAGCGATTTACAGGGGGATACCTTGTACCCAATTAAATACCTGGACCAAGTATGAGCCCTATAAAAATGGCGGCCCGGCAAGGACGAAGGATCAGATTAGTAAAAAAAAAATGATCATCTGAAAATCTCGAGCGCGTCAGATTAAGGTAAGGTGAACTAGTTACATGCTAAAAGGTGTACATACCTCTAATCTGACAATTTGAAAGTGACGTAAAGAAGGGAGAAGGCTACAAAGTTGTAAAAAAAAACGTCACTTTGACATTCTCGAGCGTGGCAATTTTTTTTTTATTTCGAAGGGAATCATTCAAGGATTACGAAAAATATATAATCTGACGATTTTCACAAGCCGAAGTAATAAAAATTCATCGATAAGATTTAATGCGTTTAAGCTACGTGATACCTATATTTCCTTCTCCGCATCACTATTTCTCTCTCTTTTTCTGTCTATTACTCTCTCATTCCGTCCCCACTCTGGTTTCGGTTGCCATGACGCCATGACAGCTGATGACACAGACTCGTTCGTGGCGTGATATTGTTCCAACGTTTTTGCTTATTATGTTATTTTAATGTAAATTTTGTGAATTAAACTTTTTACATATTTACTAAGAGAAGGAGAGGAAGATGATTCTAGCGATGAAGATGATAATTAATAAAAAATACTGTAAAAATTAAATTTTCATATAATCATTTTCTTATAAATATAAGTATTTTACATTAAAAAAACATACACTTTCTTATTTGCATGCTTACTCCGGTGCTTTTCTATTTAATTAGGCTCAATGATTTGAAAAAACTAAAAAAAAAATTTTTTAGTGTCAGTTTAATTAAATCCCTTCAGATAATCGTCAGATTATGAGATATCACGTCTGGGGCATAAAGATGAACAATATATATCTTAATCTGACGCGCTTGAGTATTTCAAAATGGCGATTTTTTTTTGCACATTCTAATAATGGTCACGCGTTTGCGTCACATCCAAATCGTCAGATTATTATATGAGAGCTTTTAGGTTCACTTGACATCCCCTCAAAAAATCTGACGCGCTCGATTAAATTATTTTTTTTTCATTTTCAACCCTTACGTATAACCACCCCCATCATGGAAACGATCAGATTAATATACGACACTATTTAAAAATGCGTAGGACATGGATGATATTAATATCTGACGCGCTCGAGCATGTCCACACAACATTTTTTTTTTTACATTTTTAAAAATCTATAGCCGCTTCCCCCACCGATGAAAAGGTATATATTATATGAATTTTTTTTTTGTTATCATCTAAGCTTCGCAACCCAATAGGTCTCTATGACGCTCGAGGAAATTCCGATTTAGCATCGTGGGCTCCTACTACAATGTCGTTTATGAATATTATAAACAGAAGTGGGCCTATAATCGAGCCTTGAGGCACACCACTAGGCAAGACAACCCAACTAGAGATATAATTACTAGAGATATAAATACCTCTTCATTAAGTTTACATTATTTACTCATACCGATACATATTCGATACAAAAATTAATTTTACTGTTTCACTCACTTTGTCACTTCACGTGTCAATTTTTCATAAATAATTCACCGTACTATCTACCACTCTCGTATTTAGTTCATTGATCGCTGAATGAATATCAAGAAGAGCAGCTCACCGTGTATCTATAGGGGCCGAAGTAGATTTTACCACATAGAGAAGTTTGATACGGCGAATATTTATCGAACGTATATAGATTTTATGCGAACATCACCAACATGATCCCTTGACCTATTCAATAAATGAGGATGTATTTAAGAAAAAAAGAAAGTTCTATAAATGCACCTCACTAGATGGCGACTTTAGCAAAAGTCAATTTTTACAGGAAACAAATGGACCAAATATATATAATCATTTCCGTTACTTTTAACTACATATTAAAAAAACTGACATTTGCAAAGTTCGAAACTTAGATATCAATACAAATATGAAAAAGTACAAATAGAATATGTGTTGCTTATTAAGTTTTATAATTAATTTAACTTTATACATGAAAGAAAATCGGAAGGGTTGTTATGGAGAAATCAAGAAAGTACCGTAGCGACATCATCATCATCAGCCGGAAGACGTCCACTGCTGCACATAGGCCTTCCCCTTTGAACGCCATGATGGACGACATTGCGCCAGCTGCATCCAGCGGCCGCCCGCGACTCGGACGATGTCGTCCGTCCATCTAGTCGGGGGTCGACCTACGCTGCGTCTTCCGGTTCGTGGTCTCCACTCAAGAACCTTTCGTCCCCATCGGTTATCGGTTCGTCGAGCGATGTGGCCTGCCCACTGCCACTTCAGCTTACAAACCTTGCGAGCTATGTCGGTCACTCTAGTTCTTTGGCGAATATCCACGTTTCGGATCCTATCGTGCAAAGAGACCCCTAACACAGCTCTCTCCATGCTTCGCTGAGCGACTCTGAGCTTCTCTAAGAGGCCAGCAGTTAAGGACCACGTTTCAGTGCCATAGGTCATCACTGGCAACACACACTGGTTATACACCTTCGTCTTTTGGCACTGTGGTAATTTGGACGTGAAGATATCGCGTAGCTTCCCTAACGCTGCCCAGCCGAGTTGGATTCTTCGAGCGACCTCGATTTGTCGAAATTGGATCTACCTAACTGGATTTTCTGTCCAAGGTACACGTAGACAACTTCGAGAGTATCAGTTCCAATTACCACCGGTACGGGTGCAACATGAACATTCGACATGATCTTCGTCTTGTTCATGTTCATTATAAGACCCACCTCTTTGGAAACGATACTCAGATCGCTGAGCATTGTACTTATGTGCTCCATCGATCTTGCCAAGATGACTATATCATCAGCGAAACGAAGGTAAGTGATGTATTCGCCATTGATGTTGATGCCGTATTCGTCCCATTCCAAGAGCTCGAAGACGTCCTCCAATGCATTCGTGAACAGTTTCGGAGAAATGACATCTCCCTGTCTCATGCCTCTGCGCAATTGGATTGGTTTCGTGCTCTCTTCCTGGTAGCGAATTGACATTGTGGCGTTGCTATACAAACGTTTCATCATTTCGACGTACCTGTAGTCGATTTGGCATCGCTGGAGGGACTGCAGTACTGCCCAGGTTTCGATTGAATCGAATGCTTTCTTATAGTCCACAAACGCTAAGCAAAGTGGCAGATTATGTATACACCTCGGTTTTCAGTATAATCTGCCGCACCGTATGTATGTGGTCTATGGTGCTAAAGCCTTTTCG